GGTGCATTTAAACCAAAAATGCCATAATAAGGCTTTAAGGTCTGTTTTGTTTTGTTTTTTAAAACTCAGAGTCAATACTAAGAGAGTACAATTACCTTGGTGATGCGGGCGTTTTCAGTCAAAGACTGTTCTGGTCTCATTGTACCCATCATCAGGCTGGTCCCCTGTGGTCTGCCCCACAGCCGTCACCGGGATTGCCTCCAATTATTCTGAGGGCCGACGCAGAGCGCCGGTTCGGCGGCGGCGTGCACGTAGAGCTTTGAAGTCTGTGCCAGTCACCCAGGTCCACCGTCTGTCTCCCAGCTGGTGTCTGTGGCCCCCGTGGCTTTGGGCTTCGCGATGAGCCCTAACATATAGCCTCAAAACTGCTCCTGGGCTACTTACCTGTCACAGTAACAGCAGTTAGCATCTCACTTTTTTTTAAATGGATTACATTCATTCTGCCTCTGTCGGCCACCCGGTCCCCACAGGAAGCAACAGCTGTGCCTCTCAGGAAATGGGCTTGTGAAATATGTTTGGTTTTTCCAAAACACATGATCAAACCCACTTTTTCCATCATGGATTGACAAGACCTGGAAATTTAAATAAAAAAGCTCATGCTGATATTACTGATTGGGCCAATAACTTGTCTTATTCTCCGTGGGGTGTTAACTGATGGGGGGCCATTCATTCAAGGAAAGAAAGGGAGGAAAAGGTTGCAATCTAGAGTCATGCTCGGTATGTTTTTTACAATTTTACATTAAAACCATTTAGTTTTTTGACAGACAGGTTCACAATGCCAGCTCTAACATCCTCAATGATGCGGCTGATAGGACCCAAGTAATCTCATTAGGATTTGATTCAACTGCAAGGAAGGGGATTTGGAAAAACCCACCCAGACCAGCCAGCTGTTTAGTGGGAAAAATGATCAAAAAAGTATCATCAAGCAACTATCAAAGTAACTAAAAACGGGCCATTGCAAATGCATCAGATTTGAACACTCAGCTAAATGGGAGGAACATTTTTGTATTCTGAACGCTGTAGCATGCAGCAGAAAAATCTGTGAAAGCCCCTCAAACTGCCCCGCTGCCAAGAGAAACGACACCCGTCTAATTCATTCTCAGGCCGATCAAATCATAGGATTACGGTTTCCTTTGGCCGGCAGCAGACGTAAGCACCCCTGGATTCATCGAATCAAATATTGATATAGTGCTGATGCAGAGCAGATGTGCGATTTATAAAGAACATGGTGTGCGGACCACCTCCCCTGCACAAATGCCCCCTCAGCAGGAGGTCCCTCAGAAAAACGGCAGATTAACCACAGCAATCAGCCAGAGACTCTGCCCGTGACCCCAGAGGAGGCCAGAAACCAGAGGCCCCCCTTTTGACACCCCCCAAATTTCTTGTCACGCAAAGGCCGGGCCTGATTCTGAGCTAACGGTCCGCGTGACGGTGGCCTGTGATAACACGATCTGAGCGAAAGCCCTCGGCAAACAATGAAAGGAAGCAGAGCCGAATCGGCAAAACGACCGGCCGGTTTGTTAATTATTCAAGCAAATGTGGACGTTTAAAGTATTTCCTTAACGATATTGACGATTATGTATAATTTAATCAGCATAGATGGTAAGTGGCCTCTTCGGTCACGCTCATCGACTCCTATGATCAGGACCTTTGTTCTCTGTCACAACCCCCCCCCCCCCCCCCCCCTTTCGTTGGCCTCTGGACGTGCTGGTGTCCCGAAATTCCTGCTCTATGGCTCTGAAAAATAGCTGCGCTAGATTATCTGCTGCTACTAAGGCTGCCCCCAGAATCTCAGAGGGTTCAAGACGAAACAGCGGCTGGTGGCTGAGGACATCTGTACGTGTTCGGTTGGACGTTACATCTAGGCTTAAAGACTGTCGGGGAGGGGGGGGCGTGTGGGATTAGTGGCAGCCGTAGTTCTGCTTCTGTGAGGGTCCCGCCACATGTCTGTGTGTGACTGAGCGTAAGGCAGAGCGCGTCTTTGTCCACACCGAGAGGGATTGGGGGCAGCAGGCTTCAGATCAGGGTCTGGATCCTGGAGGAAGTTCGCCGGCCTTTTCCCACTTCCTTTCATGCGTGGTAGCAAAGCTGCAGGGCCAAGCTTTTTTTTAAAAAAAGCTCATCCAATTTAAAACTCATTTCAGTGAGTAAAGTCCCAGATTGAAAACCAGTGGATCTGGTTTATTCTCCTCTCACTCAGTGTGAATGGGACCACAGCCAGTGTTAAGAGAGCATGGGATTCTCACTTGGACGTTGTAAATTCCGGTTTTATGGAAGTCCTTGAATTAAAGCCTGGCAATTAAATTAATTTCTCTTTTTTTTGTCTGTGTAAACCGAGAAATGACTCGAATATGGATAGTCATGTGACCAAAACGAACATTGTAAAAGTCAGTGAACTGGGGGGAGTAGACTGGTGGCGTTTCATGCATTAGTTAAAAAAAAAAAAAGATTTTTATGGATTTTATTTTGGGGGGGAAATCTACTGGATCCTCTTCTTCTTTGGGTGAGGGGCCCATGTGGGAGTTTAAACCCTTTGGAGCCTCACACCGTGCAGTGGATCTCAACCACCGGCCGCAGTCATCCGGCTATGTGACCCCCATGTAGTCTGCTGTTTTACATGACTCACACCATAATTCATTTGAGCTGATTATCATTCAAGCGTGGCAATGTTTGCTTTGAGCCAGTAGAATGGTAGTGACTAGCTTTGGACTCACGACTCGCTCTTTGCTTGCTGAGGACATTAACTAATTTCCTGAGTTACTCATAATGGGCGAGGGGGGAATGAAGTGTGTAATGGATGTAATTGGTGGACCACCTTTGTAGCAGGAAACCTGCTCGAACAGAAACACTGGTTGTAGAGACTCCGTGGCCTAATCTGTAATCAAATGTCTTCTCTGAAAGACGCTAAAGTGGATGTAGTCAGAGAGAGCTCGATTGAAGGATAATGGTTGTCTTTGGCCATTAATGGTATCAGAGTCTTGTTGAAGAGAGCTCTGCCTTCTTTTCATTAGATTTGTAATGAATCAAGGTTGTAATCGTGATGGTGTGGCTGGATGTATCCATTACCTAATGCAGGGCGTTGGGCTAATGGAAAACAAAGGGCTCGATGCGGCGTGCGTTTCGTCTGCCTCTGGGGAAACAATTGATGAGACAAAGACAGCTTCCAATGCATGGGCCGCAACAACAATTTTTCAATCCTGTATCGATTGAGTTTCAGAAACAACCTTCATTAGCTTTTCAAAATCTGGACTCTGATTCACGTAGCGCTTTGTTTGCATGCGTAAGTATTTAAATCCAAGGTTGAATCCTTTAAAGCCTGATCCAAGAAAAGCTAGCGAGAAAATAAAAAAAATGTCTTGATGAAGTCTTTATTTTGCCTTTTAACAGAACAGTCAGTGATTTGCAGCAAAATGTTCACCACCTTTGATTTATACGATAAGGACAACCCATAGGATTAAATCCTGGAAAAATATGCTGCAATTTTTGTAAAAAAAAGTCCATTCATGAAGTATCAAAGCAGGCCATCCTTTACTATTTAAAAAAATGTACGTATGGAAGGAAAAAGCTTGTCTTCCTAAATAGGTGCAGCTGGATGGAGATTTACCTACGTGGCACAGGATAGAAATGCCATTGTGGAGCTACCAAATGTTTCTAGAGTGGTTTCAGACTCAAACTTAAAACATTATTTCCCACTTTCTGCAATGGCTCTAAGGGTTAGCCGGTAAACGGTACCACAGTGTCACAAGTATTCCCAAATTAACTGTGGCTATGTTTGAGTCACCCTGAAGATCAGACGGACTCAAGTTTACTCCAAAGTATGTAGACTGCCATTTTTGAAAACATTGCTCTAGTAAAACATGAAAGAGCCATTTGAAACAGCCTTGAAACTCTGAACTAATTGGTTTTTAAAGCCATTCTCGGAGTGCTTGGAGTTGAGTTACATAAGTTGCAGAGTGGCGGCCGGAGGTTAGCAGCGCTAATTAACGTCTTTATTTTCATACTGTCAGCCATTGTTCGCTCATATCCCCCGCTGAAAACATGCCAAAGAAAGGAAACCCCCCCCCAGCCCTGTCTCCTGTGTACCTGCCCGTCGTCACAGAGCTGCAGGATTACATAACCACGTTAGGAAACACCTTTTGTGTTATTCGTAATACCCCAACTAAGAACACTCGGCTGCCCTGAGCTCAACTCTTGAGCCAAATGCCTCTTCCTCTTAAGCCCAGTGACCTTGTTTCCCATTAATTGGTGCAGATTCCTGAACTGTAAGAGAAAAATAACAAGTGCTGTTTTCGTTCCATCAGTAACAAGTCGGGATGGGAGGGATTCGATACGCGCCGGAGCATTTTCTCCTGCTGAGAGCTTTGCATTTCTCTGCCTCCAAAACAGGGCCAGAGTGCACACGCTGCATTCTCGAAGAAAGATGGAGAACACAGATTTGTAACGTTTGCAAGAAGCCCAAATGAAAACGGGGGAGAAATTAGTTCTTTCCTCCTGCTTACGTTTGCCCAGAGCTGGGGAAATCCCCTGGCTGGAACAGGCTAAAACCCCAAACTCCTGTTTAATGAAAGAAAACGTAATCCGAATTAGTTTTATTAATAGCATTTCCCCTCGAGCTAACTAGAGAAACAGGGATTGGGAAAAACACTTTCAAGTGGAATAATTAACACTTGATGCCCCCCCCCCCCCCTTTTCCCTTTTTATTAAGATGAGCGAACAGGGGCTTGTTTCATGCTGTTGGTGCTGAGAAAAAAGTGAAGCAGCAGCTTCTTCCGCTGTGCTCCACCGTATGGATGTCTAATCTGGCTTTTTAGATTCTTTTGTTGGCGCTCGATTGCTTTCAGGACTCACTTTTGTTTTTCTCATTTCGGAGGCCTGTTACCTGATAAGTGATCCAGTATATTTCAGTTTTTTTTCTTCTTCTTCCCCCGTGCATAGCAGCATGGGATGGAGAGGGAAGGAGGGTTAAAGGGCCTCTGTGCTTTTTCCATCATGTGTTTCAGTTCCTGAGGACCTCTCCGTGGCGGAGAGGGATGAGCTGTCCAACATCCGACGGAGGAAGAGAGAGCTGCTCGATGATATTGAGGTGTGTGCTGGTACTTAAGAGATACATAGCTTCACATTGGTCACTTTGATTGAGATAAATATGCAATTGCTCAGTCAAAGCAAGCAAAAGATGCACTTATTTAAAAAAGATTAAAGATCGAAATATTTGTTTAAATATTTGAAGCAATTTTACTGTTGGTTGGTAAAAAACCTACTACTACTTTTCTAGTTACTACATTGAAACAGTTTTAAGGCTAAAAATAATTCAACCTTAGTCCTTTTATTTCTATTCCAAATTATTGTTGAGGTTTGTTGAAATTGTCTGTAGGAAAATTCTGATGAATTAATATTTGCATGCCAGGCAGCTGCTTGAAAGAGGCTTTTGCTCTCTCTGATAAAGGATAAAGATTTCATCTTTGTTATAAAGTCTTTTGGAGGTACCCTACTTTTTTTTTTTTAATTGAACTGTCCAGTTATAGATATTGCTAAGCAGTCCCGGTTTTTACACATACAGGAGATCTCTTTATGGTGGATTTAGACACAAAAAAGAGGCCTGTCATCGGTCAAATTTCTAACACTTAGTTAACCACTGAAGCGCTTTGTGTCCATTTGCATGCTGTAAGGAATGCAAATAGACCAGCTGACCGTCTGGCCACATCCACTCCAGACATATAAAGTGCTGAATTTTCCGTCGTTGGACTGTTCATTTACTGTCTCATCGCTCATATGGTTCATATAAATAACAGAAACAACTGTGGGCTGCTTTGCTTCTTTTGTTTCAGAGGCTGAAGTTTGAGATAGCAGAGGTCATGACTGAGATTGAGCAGCTCACATGTGTTGGGGAAAGGTAAGGCCAGAGTCTTTGCTTGTGATGTTGTCGTTTAGGCTTGTGACACTAGCCTTTTAAAACACACGTCCCGTGCTTATTGACCCAGAAATGTTAAAACACAGGAAGTCTTAAATTGTTTCGAATGGTTATTGATTGAATCTTAACTGGATGTGTTCACATCTTTTTTTGCAATTTTAGCCGTTGAATTAAAATTGGGGCGGCACGGTGGTGTGGTGGTTAGCACTGTCGCCTCCCAGCAAGAGGGTTCTGGGTTCGAATCCCGGGGGAACCAGGGCCTTTCTGGGTGGAGTTTGCATGTTCTCCCTGTGTCTGCGTGGGTTCTCTCCGGGTTCTCCGGCTTCCTCCCACAGTCCAAAAAACCTGCATGTTAGGCTGATTGGAGATTGGGGAAATTGCCCTTGGGAGTGAATGTGAGTGTGAGTGGTTGTATGTCCTGTGTGTGGCCCTGCGATGGACTGGCGGACTGTCCAGGGTGTACCCTGCCTCTCGCCCGTTGACCACTGGGATAGGCTCCAGTTCCCCCCGCGACCCCATGAGGGAATAAGCGGCATTGATAATGGATGGATGGATGGATGAATTAAAATTGATTAATTGATTAAACTCTAGGGGATACCAAACTGCTTTTCGTGATGAATTGCATGAGAAAGCAAATGTAATTGGACAAGACGTGGCTGTATTTGGAAGTTACTTTGTCGTATTATTCTAAACAGATTGTGCAAATTCAATATTTGAACCAATGCTGATAAGAAATGTCGGTGGCTGTAACCTTAATGCTACAGTCATATCTGTATGTTTTTTTAAATGTATTCAAGCTGAATCAGTTTAGTCACGCTGACCATATTTTCAGTTTGAGTTCATGTGTACATGGAACATCTGTTTTTCATGTGAGTGATTACGTTTCAAGTCTCCTTTTTCACGTTTGTGCTTCAGTAAAACGTCCCAGAGAAACAAACAGATTGCCATGGGCAGGAAGAAGTTCAACATGGATCCCAAAAAGGTATCCGCTCAGTCAAATCCCGGTGCTTTCACCCCAAAGCTCCACCCGATTTTAAACCGAACCCCTTTCTGTGTTGGGATGAAAAGATGAATTCTGTCATTTTCCATCGTCTTACCGTGACCGAGACGAACAGCCACCCTGTTTTCTCCTCTTTCTCTCCAGGGCATCCAGTTCCTGCTGGAGAACGATCTTCTCCAGCACACTCCCGAAGACATCGCCCAGTTCCTTTACAAAGGAGAGGGGCTCAACAAAACTGTCATAGGAGACTACTTAGGAGAGCGGTAAGTGAGAAAAGTCCTTCCCTCATTAGATTTACATCCCCCTCCTGTTATTAAAGAAGGATATTATGCTCCAGGTCTGCCTATTAAAGAAGTCTGAGCTTACTCTAGCATTAATCTTTGAATCCGCCCATTCAAAGACTTATTGCTGGTAATAAAATAACCACCCTGCTCCTCTATTTAAAACAGCTGGAGGACAGATTAAATGGATGGATGTTAAATAGTTTTAAATAATCTGTGAGATCGAGGCAAATTATTCAAAACCAGGACAAATGAGCCAAAGGAGGAGGAGAGTTGGGCCGAAGAAGATTTTGACTTCAATGTAGAAGGTGGTCTTTAACGAAGGTAATTCACAAAGAGAACAACCCCAAAAGCTGTCCAAGTTGGTCCATTTGCCACTATGGAAGAGTGAGGATGATGTCTTTATTAAATAGATTATACTCTGAATAGAACAAAAAAAGGAGAAAAGTAAAAGTTTGAGTTGAAAAACTTGTATGAATTTGGTCTATTCCCAGGACGAAAGCAAAGGAAGGCATCGCTGATATTGTTGAGCATTTCCTCCTTGTACAATCACTCCCCTTTTTCAGGGCCAGACCTGTCAGAGACAGTGTTCTGGGGCCGGGGTTAGCCCCTGTTAGCCGCCCAGTATGAGCTGTCCGATGTGCTTAAAGCCAGTCGGTCAAAAGACAAACTGAGAATAAAGAGAACGGAGGCTGGGCTCATTTACATGTTAATGGGGGAGATCGATGCATTTTAAATTAAGCAAAGGTGATTTCTCAGTCACTTTAAAGCCTGAAGGGGGTTAATTTCGTGGTATTTAAAGTCCTAGATGTGTAAAGTAATAGGATTTTTGGATGTTTCTGGGGCTTTCACCTACGGAACACAGCTATAGTCGAAAAGGTTGCTTCTTTGTACAACGAAAAACTAAACGTGAGCTGCCGCTAGTCTTTAAGCTGAACGTTCAACCGGTCAACAGTGGTCAGGATGCGGGTGCTGCTTTTGATTGTGCAGACAGCTACGGGATCATAGCTCATCCACAAACCCAGACACACACTGACTGAGGCTGAGAGCCCAGGGGAGCCGGAGGACTACAGAGACTTCTTGTGTTGCCAGCAGACTTTAAACACGGATAATCATCAAAGAGGCCACCTACCCACTGGAAATCACACTAACCACAGGCTGAAGGTTTACGCTCAGTAATTATCACTAATTAAGCTTTTGCCCGGAGACGGGAACCTATCATTACTCGCTGAGAATCGGAGATGAGGGGGGGGACACAGGAGGAGAGGACGATGGAGGAGAAAAAAAATAACTGGAGGCCCAATTTTGAAAGGTTTTAGCAGCATAACTGTTGTTCTTAAATGAGTGCGTGCCAGTTTTGTGAACACAGGGCCGAGGTCAACCTCATTTCCAATAACTGTGTGTCAGCGGTCCTGGGTACAGTAAGGCTGTATCACGTAAATACAAATAAACAAGACGAAAAAGGCTCCTCCAGATGAATCGCTGACTGTTATTGCGACGGGAGGTTGTTGCTGTGTTATTGCGGGCCGACGTCTTCAGCCTCCCCGCAGAATCTCGCCACACAAAACACAGATCTGTGAGACGGAAAAGTCCCGGCCGGGCTGAAACAATACACAGCGAGGAGTTGATACAGGCTCAGGATCCTGAATCAGAGGAGCTCAGACCGCAGCCGGAGAGCCGCTGTTGACTTTTTGTTTTCCTCTGAGAAACCTCCAACGGTCAAACAAACCTCTGATAAAAGGGAGCCTGTGTGCCATTAGTCTTTTTTTTGCTGCATTTCCGTCAGTCAAACACGCCACTCCTCAGCCCCCTCTCAGTACCAGCCAGTTGTTTAAATTTATTCCAGATCTGTATAAGTATGAAAAGAATGCAAAGCAAAATGGCTTTCCTGGATCAAGTATGCTTTCTTCCCCATGTGCTTAGAAGCCTTATGACCTCTCTAGTATGGCCCTTCTGTTTTCTTTGTGAAAATAATACTTGAAACTATGATTTTCTTTCGTTTTTCTCCATTAGGGATGACTTCAACATCAAGGTTCTTCAGGCGTTCGTGGAGCTGCATGAGTTTGCAGACCTGAACCTCGTCCAAGCGCTGAGGTCAGAACAGTGTCCAGCCACTGAGCTGAGAGCCAGACCAGCGTGATCACACCAAATCCATTTTTTTCTGCTCCGCCTGACTCCTCTTCATTTGCAGGCAGTTCCTCTGGAGCTTCCGGCTGCCGGGTGAAGCCCAGAAGATCGACCGTATGATGGAGGCCTTTGCCTCGCGCTACTGCCAGTGCAACCCCGGAGTCTTCCAGTCCACAGGTCTGACGGACACACGGGTTCAGAGATTCAGACAGATCCATCCCCAATCTGTCTTCTTTTACACAAAGACAATGCCAAGGCAGAGAGATGCATCCTCCCCTGTTGGTTTTGCGCTTCTCTCACCACCATTTCTGATGATAGAACATATGCTTCTTGCATTTAGCTTTCACATCCCGTGGTGGTAAATTGTCTTTCCCCACAGCTCCAGCCTGCTCACTTCTTAATCGAATCACAAATCAGCAAAGCCTACTTTTAGTGAGCCAACACAAATGCCGTCCGGGGGTCTCGAATAAGTTCCGTGAGCGATGACCTGTTTTTTTTTAAATGTTTTAATGCATGTCCAGCATTAAGCTGTGAGAGTCGGTGTAACTAAAGCTCAACGTGGATTAACCAGATTTAAGCAACTACAAGCTCCGGCCCGGGCTGGTGCTTTTAGAGCAAACAGCCAGCAACAAACGAGGCTCATTCATTATTCAGCACGGGTCGACCTGGCTGAGTGATACGCCGCCTCGTTATAAACAAAGCCTACGGCTACATCTGTCAGTGAATAATTAAAGAGGGGCGGAGAGGGGGCCCACCTTTTGTGTACAGTGCTGTCACAGGTGTGCGCGGTCCCAGGAGGAGGCGGCGTGCGCCCCCAAAGCGCCGAGCTCTGGGTTAATAAGTCACCCAAAAACTGAACCTACGCTTAAATGTCGACACGCTGCCACCACCGTGCACGGGCTGTGCAAAGCGTGCCGTAATAAAGCGTCCAAAAAAAGGATTCCACTCATAATTTTCTTTAAATTCCTTCCTCAGCACATTGACAAGCGCACATATTTAAGTGTGTGTGCGTGTGAGACAGTCGGGGGGGATTCGGGGGGGTTGGGGGGGAGGGCAGAGCATCAGCATGGGGCCTTGTCTGTAACAGTAATCACAAAAACACAGCACACTGGCAGACCTTTAATCAACCACACGCCCTGATGAGAAAGCGACTCGTCCTCTCCCTCTCATCAGCTTTTTTTCTCTCTCTTAATTATTTTGGCATCTTTGTCTGACATTCCTCTTGCTCTTGCGCATTGTTCCCCCACAGCATCACGCTGTGCACGCCGTTCCCGTTTTTAGTTTTTTTTTCCCTTCTTTTTTCCTTCGAGTAGACAGACAATAGCCAGCGTGGGACCAAAGTGTGTCAGTCAGAGCAGACAGACAGAGGGGAATGAATGATTCATACGGACCAGCAGCCACTGGCCTGCGTGAGTCCCAGAGACTGGGAACCAGTCTCACTTAGATGCACACGCTCTCTTTATTTCTCTCCCAGCGGAGAATATAGAGCTAAATAAATAAATAAATAAATAAAAAGCAGTGCATCCAAATGAGCCAGAGTGAGCCTCTCCTCTTTGCACAGCTTTTAAAATAAGTACTATGAATAGATAAGTATTGATACAGTTAAAATCCAGTGTGTTAGGAGCAACGTGTACTATTTGAATGTCTCACCTGATGGGAACTTGCGCAGTTTGGTAAAAAAAAAAGAACGAAAAAGGGATCCTCAAAGTTTCAGAATGTAATGAAGTAAAGGTGGTGTTTGTCGCATTCTCGTTCTGCTGTTGGAATCTGCTGCATGTTTCCGCGACCCCTCCAGTTTAAATGTGTGGAATACTTTCACATCGATCCTCTAAGAGGCGTCTAGAGGACTGAAAAAAGCCTGGAGCCGCACTGTGGTTCACAACAACTGCACACAAACATGTGGGGCGTTGTTGAATCCTGCTTGTACAGTAAATGGTTATAATTAGATGATTAAAGTAAAAAAAAAAATGTAAAGAAAAAAACCTGAACTTACCTTATTAAGACGCCTCTTGAAAACATTATTAAGTGTTCACTTGTTCTCAGACTGGACTTCATTGATTAGCCTGTGTACAAATTGAGTTTTCTATCAAGCAGGTGACGATCCAGCTGTCTACAGCTGTTTATTTACTTTACTGTGAGGATGGAAAAATCAGGGTTACATATTTTAAAGAGACTAAACAAAGCCCTACTTTAAAGGATTCAAAAATAACTATACAAATAACATAAAACGAGGCTACTGTTTCTTTTCTTTTACGTGAATACACCCGGACAGACTGGTAGGAATGTGTTGTTAAACCATGCCGTTCCTTTTTTACAGATACCTGCTACGTGCTGTCGTTTGCCATCATCATGCTGAACACCAGTCTGCACAACCCCAACGTCCGGGACAAGCCCCCCGTGGAGCGCTTCATCTCCATGAACAGGGGGATCAACGAAGGAGGGGACCTGCCGGAGGAGCTTCTCAGGGTGAGGCCCGGGCCGTGCGGAGTCTGGGTGGGGGCTGTCCCCCCCCCCCCCCCCCCGTTTGATTAACGTTTTCCCCTCCCTCTGTGGGCAGAACCTGTACGACAGCATCAAAAACGAGCCTTTCAAAATCCCAGAGGATGACGGGAACGACCTGACGCACACGTTCTTCAACCCGGACCGGGAGGGCTGGCTCCTAAAGCTCGGTACGTGCATTTGGAGTGATTATTTTTCACCGGTCTGAATAGCTGCGCCGTGCCCGTGTGTCCGTGTTTTCTGGTGTTCTTTTCTGGGAGGCCGTGGTGGAGGTCGGTCAGTCCTGGGCAACGGAAAATAAGCCATTCGACAGATTTGGATTGGAGGCCTGATTACAGCCGCGTTTAAAAGAGAGGATTAACGACCTGAGTCGTTAATGCACATGGGTGGACTTTCAGATTTACTCGAGGTTGTCAATTTATGGCCATATACTATCTCTGTGGAGATGGCAGTGTTATTGGTTATAAACCACTACTCCACAGGCTTTGTGAGATCCACCACTTCCATAGACATCAATCGCCATCTTGTTTAAGACTGGATGCAGAGTTCTTTGGGGTTTTAACTCTTTCAAAATTGTCCGTCCATAGGCCTGTGCTCTGGTGGTCCCTGGCTTGTTCCTGACCAAGCAAACCAGTTTCCTCTAAGATTAAGGGTCACAGTTTCCAGCTGCAGTCGGTCATTCTCGCTAACAGGAACCCAACAGGAAACTTAGCCCCCCAACCTTGGCCAGTTAAAGGACACTTTGGGTCACAGAGTGACAGAGATTAAATCAATTCGGGGGTGTATTTATAGTTTGAGCGAGAGTTGCATTTTGAAAATCCAACAATCGGTTCAACTTTGGCCACAGATTTCTTTTCCTTTATTACAGGATTAACGTTGAATGATTGTTTATTTATGTTGTAAGTTTTTATCAGCTTCAGAATTCCCCTGTAAGTACTCATCTAACATGCCCCAATCAATAGGATTATCATGGACACTTAGCTGGACCTTAATAATCTTGTTTTTGTTGCCTTCTGCGTGCTAAGATTATTCTTACCAGCATGTCGATCTCAGCATCCGAAAAAGCCAGTTCACCTCTCTCAATTACGTATTCAATTATGTGCTATCCACATCTATTTCTATATCAATTGCTCACCGTGTTTGCCCAGATGACTGTCCACCTCTGTCACGGTCAGTGAATGAGTGAATAAGTGAAAACTGCCTCCATCGTCTGCCTCCGTCCAGAATCCGTCAGTGTTTTTGTTCATGCCTCTCACTCCTTCTCTCTCCCCCCTTTTTGCTGTGTTGTTCCATTCTGTTCTGTGACGGCCGTGCCCTCTTACATTTTATTACACAAGGAGGTAGGTAACGCTTCGTCCTCATCCGTCCTTCTTGGATGACCACATGGCGTCTCCCCATGCCGGCGTTGGCTGCCGTAGTCTGGTCCACTCACCGGGCCCCTCCACATGCTAGCAGCCTCATGTAGTTGGCCTGTCGTACCAGAGCTGTAACAAATACGTTCGTTAGCATGTGGAGGGGATGGGCTATCGCATTCAAAGGCAAGATAGGCTGGAGTTCATTGATCTCCATGGGAATTCGGTGCTTTACTCATGTGGCTCTGGGGGGGGGGGGTTGCACAGACAGAGCCTTAAAGAAGTGTGAATAGTGGTCCTGTTCGCTTTTTTTTTTCTTCTTTTTTTTGCCTCGGACACTGGAATATGGTGCTCAGAATGACTTTTCGTAGTCGTAGTCGTCGGATGTTTGCATCGTAGTCCGAGCAAACATCCCGACTCTGTGTTTGGCTGGCAGAGGCCGGACAGGACTGCAAGTGCGACCAGCTCAGCGGGATTAAAAATGCAGCTTTTGACACGTTTCAGGCGTGGGTAGTCATTTCAGATGGCTAATCCAAATTCCTTCCTTTTCTTTTATGGGTCTTCCAATTGATATTTCCAAACCAGGATCTCCGTTGCTCTAGAAATGAACACGGTCCTGAAAACAAAATGTAAAAGTAGGAGATTCATCCTTCTGCAAGCAAGCGTAAATGCATGTTTTTTAAGCTTTCCAAGGCTTTGAGATGAGGTGTGTCTATTTGTAGGGACAAACATCCAAAAGCTGTGGAGGTGCTTTGGTGCACGCTGTCGTAGGGCTCTGGTGTCGGCAGAATGCTTCGCCCCGCTCCGGCTTCAGTGATTCGGCCGCTTGGGTTTGCGCTGTGGGAATGTTTGGGCTCCTGCTTTGCGACTGGCCACGCGAAGGGGGGGGGGGATAAGAAGACCCTTGGCCCTTTTCATTTGTCTTCCTGTGTTCCCGCCCGCAGGCCTCAGCACCTCTGGCTGCACTGTCTCCGATTCCTCCTTCTTCCTGTTTTGCACACCAGAAAACCAGCCGCACTTCTCTGGTTGTTCTTTCACAAAAAAGGAAAAAATATATATCAGAGCAGCTTCGAATATGCTTTGAGAAATGAAGGAAAGTTTCTTACTTTGTAATGCGTGTAAGTGCTCCTGTAACTCTGTGCTGCCAGTCATCACATCACAGAGGCTCCTCCGCCAGTCCAACTGTGCTGGAATGTTAAGCATTAGTACTCATTTTTCTCATCTTTAAAAAAAGATTTTACCCAGTGGACATTAAAAGAGACTTAATGACCACCTATTATTAAAGAAATATCTCAATATTAAGCAGAGTTTAAAGACAAAAAACTAAAAGAAATGCAACTTCTTTGTCAGAACGTGACTTTTACCGTAACTTTCATTTGAACCTGATTTAATGTAGACTTTTTATTTTTTATGTGAGTATGTCTACATTTCTGTTAAGTAAAAAAACAAAGTACTTTAGAGCAGATGATGAAGAACGATTGAACAAATTAAACAAAACTCTGCCGGCCATAAGTGGCCATGACTGGCCTGTCGCAGTTTTTTTTTTTTTTTTTCAAACTTTGTTTATTGAACATTTTAAACTTAGGACAGACATTGTTGAAACAAGTAAAACGTCAATACAAACTCAATGTCACGGTCTGTCAACCCCCAAACCCCCTGACCACCCACCCCACCCACAGGCCAAAAAATAAATCAATAAACAAATGGATTAAAAAATAAAGAGTAGAAATAAATAAATAAATAAAAGTAGAAATAAGAATTATAAAGAAAAAAAATAAATTGGAATAAAAAAATAAAATAAAAAATAAATAAAAATAAGTAAATAAATAAATAAAAATAAAAAAAGGGGAAAAAAGGGGGGGAAACATGAATGTATATGTAAATAGATAATTAGTGGCCTGTCGCAGTTTTAAATAAAGGTCCAATTTTGAATGCACTTTTTGAAAAAAATACAAAACACTAGCATTTCTTGCAGGGTCATGAAATTCAGTGAGCTGATCATCTTTTGAATATTTTTTTCATATTTTACAACAACAGAAATTATATGATCAGAAAAAATCTCAAACTTTCTCCCAGAAATGTTGAGGAATCTCACATTGAGGAATCTCACAGCTTAGTCAAACTTAGAAGAGATGCTGGATGTACAGAATGAAAATCTTGGCCATGTTAACCTTGCACGTCGATTACATCAGTGACAGTTGCTTTGTTCTCATTCCACCCAGTCAGCAAACACCTCATTAAGGGGCACGTGCTGCCAGATGTACATCGAACTGTGGATTGAATCATCACTGGTGTAATTAACAGAAAATCCAATAATCCCAATAATCTAGTCTTATCTGAGGATGGCGTGGCCCTCTTTTGAAACTTTCCTCCTACCGTTAGATGAATAGCGGGCCATTACTGGCCATTCCTGGAGCGCCCCTCTTGACTGAGCCCTGCACATGTCTGGGGTTTGTCCTGGAAAATAAAGCGGGTTTGGACGGTCCTCATAACCCTCCCCCACCCCTCACCTCCCCCCTCCCCCCCCGCCGGTGGGCATTAATCTCAGGGGGCGTGGGGGGCGGGGTGCTGGATGTACATCCAGCCTTACAGTTGCGGGCAGATGGGGATCAGAACCAGATGTGGAACGTGGAGCTGGGGTCTCCTGCAGGTTAGCCTCTACATGCTTCAGTCAGGACTAAAAATGTGCTTCTTTTCTTTTCTTTTTTAACCCCTCCCTTTACAGGTGGCCGAGTGAAGACGTGGAAGAGAAGGTGGTTCATCCTGACCGACAACTGCCTCTACTACTTTGAGTACACAACAGTAAGTGGGGGGGGGGGGGTTGAGAGTGTGTCACTCAGCTGTTTCGTTTAGCTTTTTTCTCTTTTTTGCTATGAAAACTTGCATTTCCTAATGTGCTTTTCCCGGCGCCGCTCCTTCTCGCTGTGTCTCTTAGTTGCTTGGCAACCTCAAATTGATGGAAATTTGAGGATGCGGAGGAGAGAGAGCAACATCTGAGAAAAGCTGCTGCCAAAAGTTGAAATCATTTCCTGTTCATCTTTTAATCCAACACCCAGAAAGCAGATAACCATTTGAGTTATTTCATGTAAATGTAATAAATGTTAAAAAAGAAAAAAGAAAAAAAAAAAAAGGAGAGGCACTGGTTGGGGGCAACCCAAGAGGTTGACTCTTTAGCATGTGCACCCCCCTTTGACCGAAATGAGCCACACTCCGGTGATTAACGAGGAAACATCTGCAGGGTCGACCGCTGCACATCTGGCCCCGCTAAGCTGTAAGCCAAGCGCCCCCCAGAAAAGACCCCCGCAGCTAAAAAAATCCCTCTGCATACACTTAACACACTCAGCCAGCTGCGAGCGGCCGTCCTCCAGCATTTCCTCCCCCAGCTGTGGCCCCTCTTTAGCAGGAAGATGACAAGCAGGACCCCCCCCCACCCCGACGCTGCCTCCGCCCTCACCTCCGGGCCCCGCTCTGGTGAATGCATGGAGGGTGTGGGCTTACATAATCCCCTGTGTGACAAGAATACAGAAAAAGCCTACAGTGGATTTAACCACTCCTTTTATAAAAGAAAAAAAAGAGAGATGCTGCAGTGAGAAACTTTGAAAGTCGCGTGTTTTGATAGTTGACATTTGCTAATGGAGGCTGGAAACGAGGTGGGGGGGGGTGGATGTGGGGCTTAATGATGCAGAAATCTTTGGGAATTGTTTTATTTCTATACCCCCAAAAATTATTCAAAAAAACAGATACCAATAAAATTGGAAAGGAAGAAAAGTCATTTTGTGTGAGGTCCAAAACATTTGGACAGATTGCATCAGTTTGCCTCAGAAAAAAGCCCGTCAGTAATGGAGGTTACATGTTGCTGTTGGTTTGAGGACAGATGTTGGCATCTTCTTGATGTCCGAAAGGGAAATTCCCAAAAGCGCTTTGGGGATGGAAATTGCAAAAGCAGAAGGTAAAATCATAAAAACAGTTAAATAAACAGAATAAATCACATCAAACTGCCTCATTTTGAAACTGTCTACCGTATTCTTTAGATAGGGAGAACTGAACACACATAAAAGAACGATTACCCTTCTCTTCGTGTCCCGTCTTTTGATTAATGGCTAATTTATTTTTTAACGCAGTGTTGATTTTATGCCTTCGGCCCCTTTCTGAGGTCAAAACTTTGTCCCTGTCCTGCACTGAGACGTAAAAAAACCTGTGAGTGACGTGTCGAACGCTGAGGGCTGCTTTCTTTGTGTGCTCAGGACAAAGAGCCTCGTGGGATCATCCCTCTGGAAAACCTCAGCATCAGAGAGGTGGACGAGCCCAGAAAGCCGGTAGGGATCAAACCCGACTGCTCCCGTTTCCGTAGGAACGACTCATTTGACAAAAACCCAACTGAGGCGCCCTCCGTTTTTTTTTTTTCCCAGAACTGTTTCGAGCTCTACAATCCCAACCACAAAGGTCAGCTTATCAAGGCCTGCAAGACCGAGGCGGACGGGAGGGTCGTCGAGGGCAACCACGTGGTGTACAGGATATCGGCCCCGACCCCGGAGGAGAAGGAGGAGTGGATCAAATCCATCAAGTAAGAGACGGCGTGTGACTGTGGATCCATTTACACTCGGAGGGCACTTAGCCAACGCCGGCCCTCTCCCAGGGGAGATTTTCTCATGCCTGACCTTGACACTGTGAGAACCAACACCCTCATCCACACACACACAAATACACACAAAGCTGTGAGCGTAATCAAGAATGCACACACACACACACGGGCATGAACCGGTGACTAAATGTGACTCCGTTTCTCACACTTCCATGAAGATAACACTCAGAGGTGATTCCTGCTCAGCTGGATAAGCCCACTTATCCACACACACACACATATACACACACACACACAGACACACGCATCTCCTCAGGCTCTGTACCTTCCTGCACTTTTAAAGGTGTTTTGGCAGCATTTACACCTTCCATCCAACACAACCTTGTTATCCAGTGGTAGTGGTGGTGGTGGTGGTGTGTGTGTGTGTGTGTGTGTGTGTGTGTGTGTGTGTGTGTGTGTGTGGGGGGGTGGGGGGGGGGGGTGATAGTGGAGGTGCTGCTGTAAATTGGACCTCGTGGGATATTGATCAGCTCGCCGGTTATAATCTATTTAACTTCCGTCTTGCTGGTAAAATATGATCAATGCCTGAGTAGAAAATAGTGTTACACGAGCCCACCGCGCTCTAACCACGTTAGGAAACCTCTTAGCCGGGCTAAGCGTGCACGTGTCAGATGAAAGTTGCTTGATTAAGAGCGAGCGTCTGAAATCTGATCCGATCAGATCTTCTCGATTGGGAGGGTTTGTGAGTTGGAGGATCGTCAGTATTGTTGCAGGGTTAGAAAGCAGCAGCGGGCCTCGTTCAGCTCTGTGCAACACAACACAACACAAAAACACACACGGTGCAAACGGAGGATGTGTACTAAGCTCTGGGCAGCGGGAAGGCAGCTAATTGCTCAGCAGTTATTCCGTGTGCAGTGTGTGAGGCGGACACAACATCCCGGTGTGAGGCTGTCACCCCCCTGAAAGAGACACGAGCTCACAGCAGAACGCCGCCTCGCCTCTCAGCGGGTTTCTTTTTGTGGTTGGTGTTTTTGGTCCAGTGTACTTGTAGCATTCATCTCTGCCGGGAAATAAGCAACAGTTAAATACAATTTTTTTTTTTTTTTAAAGATAAAGCTTCTGTGGACAAAACATTCAGGCTTGCATCAAGCTAATAAGGATTCTAACCATGTGAATATTTAACACAACACTAAAGAACGCAGTTAAGACATATAACACAAGACAACTGTTCAATTCCCACTTAACTCCTGATGGATTTAGATTCTCCAGATAACCCAACACGCGTGTGTCTGGACGGTGGGAGGAAGCTGGACTCACTAATGAGTGGTTGTTAAAAATACTAATCCATTAGCTTCTATTGGACATCCAAAAGCAGCAGGGTTTGCGTCCAAAAACACTCCAAACTGCCCCTAGGACGGAACCTGAGTGTGTGTGGTTGTGTGTCTCTGTGTGGCCCTGTGAGTGACAGCCTAACCTGTCCAGAGTGAACCCCGCCTCCAGCCCCCCCCGCGGCCCTGTTGGGAGTGAATGAATGGATGGATAGATGGACACTCACATTAATCTGCTCCTTCCTGTCCTCCACAGAGCGAGCATCAGCAGGGATCCTTTCTACGACATGCTGGCCACCAGGAAGAGGAGGATAGCCAATAAGAAATGATGAGAGCCCGACTTCAGCTTCAACGCCTCGGCAGCACATGGGACTGGGACCTGGTGTGTGTGTGTGTGTGTCATAAGAGCCACGGCGCTCTCCTGCCGGTTGTTTCAGAGCTGGAGGACCAGCAGGGAATGCAGAATCTGTGGATCGTACGTCTCTGGCTCGTTTCTTGTCAGACAGGAACCCAGAGACTACACTAAGCCTAGCAGAGATTTTAGGTGAAGGCGGAGGGGGGGGGGGGGGGGGGCGGGGGGGGGCGGGGGGGGTGGATGAAAACACACAGAAGGGAACGGAGTCTTTTCAGCCAAGCTTTTGATCAGACTGCCCTCTGCTGCACGCACATGGAATCAACCCAACTGCCCTGATGGTTTCGGAGGCCTGACGCGGCGTTCCTGCTGCTCAGAGGCGGGAATAGAACCCTCCCCCCCTCCCCCCGATGACAACGGCCCGCACCAACCACATCCTGTAGCAACTACGAAAGCCTCAAGCTCACCGGTCAGCTGGCCTGACCGGAGACTGCATATGCAAACCCCATTTATTCAGAAGCTCTTCAACTTTTGCTCATTTACTTTGCGACAGTTTCCTCAAATATTCCACCCTTGATGGCAAAGAAGTGGAAACTGATTTGACAATAATTACTTTTACTATAGTTTAGACTTTCTTTTTTTTCCCAACATGATCGCAATTTTGCAAAAGCAGTCGTTAAAATGTTAATTCTGTAAATGACCACCTGGAAGTAATTCATTTAGTCAAGATCCACCTTTGTGATAAAGTTAATTTCTTTTGTATTTATTATCATATTGTTTCACAAAAGAGGTAGCCCCTCCCACCTTACATTTATAGTATAAAATGTACATACTTTTTTTGTTTTCACCCCCCCCTCATGTGTTCATGTAGAGCGAGTCATGGCTGAAGCCTGTACCCGTTCATCTTCTGAGTTTGACATAAACAGCCTGGAATGGCGGAAGCAGTGAAACCTTAAAGTGGTGATCGAGGAGTGGATAGGACAAGATGCTCTATGACGTGATATAAATACTTCAAAATGGTGAAAGACACGAAATACTGGAGTCTTCTAATTTCCACCTGTGAATTGTGACTGGAATGGGATCCGTCCACAGCCAGAACTTTACTTCCAGGACTTGAAACACGGTTTGAACTTTGTTTGGGAACATTTCGATGTACAATCTGAATAAAAATCCTAGTTAATTACAGAGGATCTTCTGCTTTCATGTGAAAACAAGAAATTAAACTTACCAATTCTTTGGTTTTTTTCTGATGCCAGACATCTGTAACACACAAGCAGCTAAAACTGTGTGTTTGTATGCTTTAACAAAACATTAATACAAAAAAGTACGGTCGGTTAACGATCTACATTATAATTTAACTGCTGAAGACAGTTTGAGACTATGTTGGAAAAGAAATAAAGAAAAGTGGATTGACAAAAGCAGACTGTGAAAGCCACAACCCTGCTTTGCTTCTTTTTTTTTTGTTTAGTCATCCAGACAAAGCACCTGATTCTCTCATCAACTTGGTCTGTCTCATAAGTGAGACGAGACTTGGCCTCCCCCCCTCCCCCCTCCCCCTGGTTCCTCGAGTAGCTTTGGGATCCCTTGTCCTGGGACAGGCAGTCTAAAGAAGATATGGGAGCCCTGGATGGAAAAAATAAAGAGGAATCAGTAAAGATATGGTACCAGGAAAAGGGGTCAGGAAATAAGAAGAGCAAATTGGAAATGGTAGAGAAATGGTCGGATAGATAGAAGCAGAGGGCCGAGTGGAGGAGTGGTAAGATAAGAGAGGAAAGGTGAGAGGCAGTGTGGAGGTGGACTTACTTATGTATTAAAACCAAATGGATGTAAAACTGTATATTAGCAAATACTGCTCAGTCCAATACAGTTTCCATCTATATAATACAAAGTCATAAAAGAAAAAACAACCCATCTCAATCATCATTTTCCATTCATTTTGATGCAGCTTGTAAACAAAGTCCAAGATCAAGAACATCTTACAATTTCCGACATTAAATGTATTTTAAGGCGTTTACCTTATACAATGTATAAATTCAGACATGCTAAACTAAAAGTGTAACAGCAGTTTTCTCAACTTGAAAAAGAGAAAAAACACAAACGCAAACCATACCTGGGAGAATATGGCCAAAATCAACACGAGTTCTTCTAAAAACAAAGCCAACGGACAAAACATGAGAATCCTGATGCAGGATCTTTACATAGAAAAATAACTGATAGTACAGTTCAAAAATCAAATTCACAGTATTATTCATGATGCTATAAGACAAAACTGTGTCTTTTCTTTAAAAAGCTAACAAAAATGGTCCACGGCTAAGATTAAAAAAAATAATAAAATAAAATAAAATAAAAAGTTCCGATGTTTTTTTTTTCTTTTCGAATACTTGAAGAGAAAAGACAAAGAGAAAAGAGCATGATCCAGAGAAACCTCGTGAACGCGTTCTGAGATGGCAGAGAGTGAGGCTTAGGCTTCAGAGGGGAAAGGAAATAGATGAAAATGAACAAAAAAATGTATTAAAAAAAAAAGAAAGAGCTGAGAAATGTTCTCAAGTGTGTCCAGGGTTAACATGGAGGTATCAGTCAGCAAAGCCTTGTTCCCACCGCTGCACTCATCCTTCTGGTTCCTCTCTGTTCGTCTGACTGCACCCAGTGGGGCCGAAGACGGACGAAACTAAAGACGCTGCAGCTCTGCAGGCACGCGGGCGTCCTGACAGTTACTCCCTTTTGTCTCGTTCTTATTTGAAGCAGATGGATAACTGATGGATGTTAAGTCTTCAAGTCCTGAGATCCACTGAGCAGCAGTTGACATGTTTAAGCTCCAGGCTTTCATAGAAACAAGTATATATTACTATATTTCATAAGTGAGAGTTTTTGACCATAATCGTGAGAATTACGGTAAATAATTGAAATTTTTGTTTTAAAAAAAGAAACGTACTTTTGCACATTTAAAAACACTTGGTTGTGGTAAAAACTCTGTTTATTCCCTGTGAAGAAGCACCGCGTCAAAAAAGGTTATTGATATCATTCCTCTGCTGTTGTCAAAAATGTTACAGATGAGGCTGGAATGAGACAGAAAGAAAGAAAGAAAGAGAGAACAGGCCCCTTAGAACCGTTTTGCTGAAACGTGTGAATCTGTAATATGACTGATGACAGTCACTCACAGAGTGGGTGTTTCAATCCGCTGGGGGATCAGAGGGAGTCGCCATTGGTGCGGCTGTATCCGTTTCCTGGAAAACAAGATCAACCTCAGGAGCGATTCTACTTATTATAAACCACCTTGACTACATAAGTACCCCTTATGATAATGACAAAATTCAACACTAGCAGAGAAAAAGTGCCTTTTACTGCTCCTTGAACAAAGTTCAAATGTCCGTGAGTAATGAGAGTTAATCTCTAATACGCTCTGATCCCAGAGGTTAAGTGGGAATGTAAAAACCCTGATACCTGTGTGTCCATTGTGATGGCGGTGAGTAGAACCGTTGGAGGGGGGTGTGTGGCGGGAGGCGTGCGGGTGGTTCCGGCAGCCGTCGCTAGAGTCGGCGCGGTGACGTTTCTCCACCGGAGCGCCGTCTCTGCAGGGCGAGTGACGGCGTTTGCGGCTCTCTCTCTCCTCGCTGCTTCTGTTCTTGTGGCTGCGAGCCGGCTCCGGGCTCCGCTGCTCAGAGTCGCTGTCCCTGTGCCGCCTCTTCTTCTTCTTTTTCTTTCGGGTGTCGGTGGCTCTATCGGAGTCCACGTCTGAGCTTCTAGGGGAGGACAGAAAAACACCCTGAACACACAAAACTAGCCAGCGAGTCACAGGAGCAGACGGGGAGCTAGGAGCTAGTCTTTTGGGGGACAACATGATTGGTCAGGCTGATGAGCCAAAGCGCCTCCTGGCAGCTTTCTTCCATTACCTACAGTCATAACATTTAATGCCTGTCTAAAAAGGATGCCATGGTTGTTTTTCCCTCTCCCTCATGTTTGGCTGGTTGAACTGGAACAGCGAGGAGGGGCTCCAGCTGAATAGTTAATATCAAAGTTTTACTTTACTTGCTGTCATTAGCAGGTTTTTGGAAAAAAGAAAGCGGAGCAGAGACATGACGACATGTACGGGCCATCGTGATGAAGTATATACCAGGAAGAACATGGCATCATTTCTAAAAAGTAGAGGTCCACTTTGAAGCCATTTGTGTGGTTTAACAAAACAGAAATGGATTCTCGTTGTGGTCAGTATAAGAAGTCAACCTGGTTTTGTAGCAGAAGAAAAAAACATACTGCACCAACTTGACAGAAGGAGCGTTTTTCATTTAGCCTTCAGGCAAATCATAACATGGGTTTGATCAATCTTATCAGCTATCAAATGAACTAGAATTTTTTTATGAACCATCTGTGACTTCAATTGCTGGAGAGGGCCAGCTGACCACCTCAGAAATGGTCTGAGCAGATGGATGGGAGACAGACGGGTTGGAAGAGGGAGGGAGGGATGGACTCAGCAACATCTTTGTGGAATGATGGAAGACGTGTTGTTTTTGTGCAAACTGAATGTTTTAGCCCGGAAGGCCTTGTTTGTTTAGTCGGATTCTGCAAACTTCGAACTTGCAAAATAGAACTTGGAATTAAATGAAACCCCTGCTTTTCTATAGCCAAAACATTTCTAAAAGGTCTGAAGGCCATGAAACAACTCTGTAGTTAAAAACTCAAACTACATTATTATTCACGTTTATGCATTTAGCAGACACTTTTATCCAAAGCGACTTACAATGCAGGTCCAGCTTTACAGTAGGCATCAACCTGACAATAAGCCACCCAGAAGGAATTCACCAGTCAGACTGTTACAGGCAACAGTGAGGAAACAGAGGGAAATACAGAAAGAGTGGCAGAGAGGGTGGGGGGGCACAGGGGAAGAGTTAGGGGAGGAGATGCTCTCTGAAGAGCTGGGTCTTCAAGAGTTTCTTGAAGATAGAAAGGGATGCACTGGTTGTGGTAGCCCCATGTAAAAGTACATAGACAGATTTGTGTGGACTAATACTTACCCACTCTCGTGCTGCCTGTCTTTATCCTTTGACTTCTTCTTTTTCTTGCTCTTTTTGTGTTTTTTCGATCGGTGAAACTCGGCGCTGTCCTCTCTTTCCTTTCTCGAATGATCATGACTCTTGGGACTACGATCATCCCTTTTAGGAGCGGAGTCCACATTGGAATCCCTGGACTTTTTTTCAGAGACCGGAGGAGGGGAAGAGCTCCTTCCCTTTGAGCAGTAATAATCCCTGTCCAAAGCTTTCCTTTTGTCCTTCATGGTCCGGGATTCGCGACTATCCTGCGGCCACCTCCAACGGCTGTGAGACTCTTCCCGCTGGGAGGAGCTGAATCCCCGCCGCTCGTGGTCCGGATGAGCGCGCTGCTGGTAGTGGCTGTAATAATGAGGGCGCCTGTCGCGGTCGTGCTCCTTTGGATGCATAAAAGGTCGCTCTCGACGGTGCTCGTAATCCCAGTCCCGGTGGCTGCGGTCGGTATGCGGCAATCGATCCTTGTGTGAGCGATGGTGATCTCTGTAGTCATGCCGGTGTTGGTGACGGTCGGAACCTTCTCGCAGCGGACTCCTGTCCCTGTAGTGTCTGTCTCTGTCTCTGCCATGGTCAGAGTGCAGTCGGTCTCTCTCCCTGTCTCGGGAAAACTGCCTTTCCTTGCCTCCTGAATTAGGCCTGGACCTGTGCTGGTCCTTATTTTCGGCACGTCCTTCCGTTCCAGCTGATTGACCGTTGTCTTGTGGGGAATCCTTGGCTTCACTCACAGTTTTGCTAACAATTTGTGGGGCTGCAGATATCCCATTGCTGCTTTGACAGGTGTCTGGCTCTGAGGGTAAGGTTTCAAGGTTACTATGATGTGAAGAAGAAGCAGACTCTCTGGATGAACCAGAGAGGGTCTTTGTAGTTGTAGCTGAAGGTAGAGAGGTAACAGCTGAGGGTGGTGTTTGATGAGGCGGGGGTTCAGATAGCATTTTAGCCCTTGTGTCAGCAGAGTGGGAGTGCTGGATGTTATTAGCAGCAGGATGAATGTTCTGAGAAGAGGCAGACTGGGACGCGGCCGGATCAAGGGCAGCTATGCTATAAACACAAAGAAACCACAAAAAAGTTTTTTTTAAGGAAAGTTACATGTTTTCAGAGGCTGAGAAAAAGACAACAAGAAAGGAGTATCTGAACAAAGAAAATACCTTTAAACTGCCACCTAAAAATATTTATTTTAACTCCGTTATGTGGACAGAACAATGACAGCTGTGTGTTTCTACTCAGAATCTTAAACTTACTTTGGTAGATAGGGTGCAGTGTCTTGTCCATTAGGAGCCGTCACAGAGGAAGGACTGCTGTGATTACTACTGCTGGAACTCTGAGGAACACAGGAATAGACACATTTGTTGGTAAGGTGTTTAAACTGACTGAGAAATGATTCAGTCTGTATTGAAATGTACCTTCTCAGAGATGTTGTGTCCATTGACTATGTGGTGCCCATGATAGTGTCCGTTTTGGTTTGAGGTGGTGGTTGGTCCATTTAATTCTTTGCCGTTGTGGTGCACTCCTGACTCTCCATTGGTGGATTTGGAAGAAGTACCACAGAAATTGACTGTGACATTACTTCCCTGAGTCTGAGACTTGGACAGACGGCCGTTATCCAGAGCGCCACAGTTATCCTGGTCTGACTCTTCTGAGGACTCTTGGCTGTACGGCACCAGGAACGATGCTCCATTCCCGCCCGTGGGGTGATCACCGTTACTGCAGGACTTGCCATTCATATGGCTCAGCTGACGAGGAACAAAGCGAACGTCTGAGTGGATGTCTGAGGTAGACTGTGAGGAGGATAAAGAGCTGGAGGAGGAGGAGGAGGAGGAGCTGCTTGAGGAGGAAGGCTGGCCGTAAGAGGAAGGTCTGTTCTGTTTGCCTTGTCCAATAAAAAAAGAGAGCTTCTGTCGTTTGTCTTGCTCTGGGATCATCGTGGGTCGACTGATTGAGTGGGAAACGGAGGAGGAAGCCAAGCCGTGACCAGGCTTTCCCACTGCACTGCTGCTTGTGCTGGCCTTGGAGCTGGTGGGATAGTCCCTCACAGATCCATTCCCATTGACATGCAGAGTATTCTGAGCATGCAGGAAAGACAACAGTATTTGTTGAGTATCAAGAAGTGATTGTTTGCTTATTGATCTTCAACGCAGAGAAACAAATCTGATATTACCTTGGTCATGTGTGGTGGCAACTGGGGACCTATGAAGCCGATGTTGTTGTGGTGGACGGTGGTGCTGATGCGTGGCGTCACCACCGGCCGCGGCGACGACTGGCCAGAGATTCCTGGGTTATGGTTCAGGTTGCAGTAGTCCCCGGCTTTTTTCACATCAGATGATCTAGTGAGAAAACAGCAGAGGACGTGAAGAAAAAACAACACTGTGCTGCCAAAAACTGCTATTCGGGGAAATGTTAAGCTGCAGATTTTGTTATCAAGGGCTAAATGTGCTTTTTTTTTTTTTTTCCAGTTTTCGCAATCTTGTAAAAATGTACGTGCCATTTTCAAAGCTGTTAAACCTGGAATATATTTGGATTTACATTTCACACTGCACCTCAGCTCTTTGGAAAGGAGGGTGTATTCATACAGCATCTGTATTAACAATGGTATTTCATTATGAAAAAATAAACAAACAAAGTTATCACTTTCAACTACCATCCATGAAAATACCTAAGATGCACTCACTCGATATAGAACAGAACATAGGCCTGCTGGCTGAGGACAGATCTGATGTCGGTCACAGACACTGAAGAGTCATTCATTTGATACCATTGACCGTTGCTTGCCTGTGGAACATAGGAGTCAACAGTTTAGACATTATATCTTTACATTATGAAATATAGAAAAAGTTCAACAAAAGCAAATACTTTACATTTGTTCAAAAGACTGTTGGAGAGACATACCCAGGTTTTATATTCAAGTAGCTTCTAAAAGCTCACGTATTAAATGCCCTGGGGTAGTGAGTTAGTTACCACTACATGAAGGAATTCTGATTGAACGTCTAGTTAAACGAGTTCTTCAGATTGTTGATACTACTGTGTGAGTATGTAAGGCAGAGTAATTATTTGGGATCATCAGTACCTTAATATAGCAAAAGTAGTGTCCAGCATGACAGCTAAATCCAGAGTGAACCAGTACGGCGTACAGGCCATAGATCTGAGACTCTCCATGAGACTGAGACAAGAAGGGCTGCAGGTCCAGGACCTCTGGATACTTCACATCCTGGTCAACACAATAAGAGGGTGATTCATTTAAACATTTTAATCAAACACATGTGGCTAATAAGAGACATTACATTGCTAAGTTTTAGCATAATGTGTGCGTGTCACAGTACCTTTGTGATCTTTCCTCCAGTAAAGTTTGCAAATCGTTTGAGTGAGAGGGTAAGCACATTGGGGCTGCGGTGGATTGTGAATCTCTTAGTGGCTGTGACCATTTTTTTGCACCTAAGGAACACAAATGATCAGTTTGGGGAAAATAGTATTCTTTATTTGAATAATTTATCATCTATTCAAAACAGTATTTGTAACGCCACTACACAAAGATCTGATGCTACCAACGATGTCATAAGCATCAAATAAGGTCCACCAATTTGAAAGTTAACACCACTTTCACAAATATCCTTTCAAATAAAAAATATATTGGAGCCTTTAATGTGCACGGTGTGAAAGTACACAACGGAGGAAGTAATGGTGAAACACACCTGCAGCCTTTACTCCGCTCAGCTACAAATAAGTATTTAAATAAAATATGTGTGCGTGTTGGCTTTCTTACTTTGTGCATTTGTAGGCATTTTCACCATCCAGCTGTTCTGGCTTGACAAACTGCTCCAGAGCTTTAGGGACACTTGGAGCTGTCTGGTTGGAGAAAAAAGAAAGGAAACCAAAAATCTGTACTTTTATTGTTTGTAATAGTTTTACTGAATTTCATGATTTTTTTCTAATCTATAGAAACACAAAACACGTTAATCCTTCAAATGGCAAAATAATCGGGTCTAAGTACCTTAATTTCCAGCGTAATATCCAGAAAAGGGTCAAATGTATCCGAGACTGCTTTGCAGTTTAAACATTTTACTGCAGAAAACAAAGAATATGTTTAGTTCAACAATTCTTTAATACGTAAACATGACAATTCACTTACAAATAGTACATTTTAAAAAAATGTTCAAACATCACACACTTACCTCGGGACCTAAGGTACCCGCCAAACACTTGGTGGATGAAAGTGGTTGCCTGCGTTTGCCTGTCCAATCTGTCACAAAGAAAGATGAGGATGAAAGTAAGTTAATCAGGCTATGATCTGATTCACATATTCAATAACATAAAGTTTTCTGGTTATATTGGCCTGGAGAAAAAAAATTGAGGGTGTGATTAACAAACTAATTGAAAGAATGGCTTTGGATAAAAACATCTGCTAAATGCGTAAACATAACAAAAATTATATAGTTAAAGCAGGATGAAATATAAAAGGAGGCATCAATTAGATCACAGATTAGTTTAGAGTTCAACAATTCTAACTCATTATATAAGAACTCGCTTCTTCTAAGTTCTTCAGAAGACATTACCCCTGGAAAAAACATTCTCCATTCACATAAGTAGATAAGCATAAAAGCACTTGACTAGAAACGCTGATCTGGCATGACATGACATCTCCATGCATTGATTCACCCACTTATGTCTGGTGAATTTGATAGTGGAGCTGCATGGGAATTGTCTATATAAGTGTACATGCCTGCTGCAGGAAAACTTTCCACTGTGCAGAATTAAATAGGGTTGCTGTTACTGAGTTACTGTTTGAACCTAATGCAATCAGGGTTATCAGTCTTTTTAAAGAGTCTTTGGTAAAACAGACTTCCCTGATCTCAAACAGTCATAAGTCTACCTTTTTAGCAAAATTACTATTAGCAAAGTAATGAGCCAATAAGGTTATTGGTTATACTCACTTGGTTCCAGGTAAGCAGGACTTTTGCATAGCGTCCACTGTGTACCGCAGGAACTCGTGTGCATCCTCTTGGCTTCCATAGCGGAAGTGTTTTGCAATTCCTGCACAGGAAAGGAATGGGCATGATTTAAGTTAGAACAGGTCAAAGTTATTTCAACATCAATACATTAAGTTAGAAAACAAGTTCCCTCCAAAAACAAAAAGGTAAACAGTCAAACAGCGCCTCCTATCTTTCATTTACGGCACACATTTTTCACAGGGCACAGCTTCCATGTTTTAGCTTGGACTTTTACTTACTTTTGAGCTCATTGAGAACACCGATAGGCTTAATGACATTCCCAGAGTTGGCAAAAACCTGGATGATGTGATTTTGCATGGTGCACATCATACAGAACCCTGGTTCATGGCCTGTAAAAGGAGCAAATGTACAGAAGATTCTAAAGGAAGGCAATGTAAAGCAATAAAGCCACAAGAAAATATGACGCTGAACTGTCCAAATATGACATAGAAATACTTGTTTGAACCGTTAAATGAAATCGTTGTTACTGAAATATAGTTCCACAAACTTACAAGTTTTGGAGTGCTCTCGGGTCAGCATGTAGCTGGCCAAGGGAGGAGTGTAGGTGAGACACTGCAGGGCTGAGTTGAGGAAGCAGGTGTTCCCCATGTTTTGCAGGCCAGCGCCAATACGGTGAACCTGGGTCCATTTTAGGCTGAGCCGTTCGGGAGGGAACAGAACCTTCTGTGGCAAATCTATTCCATCACCACTGCTTATAGCTGGACACACAGAGATCCCTACAATTAGATTTAAAACATTTGCCAGGTCAGGGACATAAGAATATGTTACATTATTGTAAATAGATGCTGACACATGGTATCTTCTATAGTAATTAACTGTTTTCTAATTGTTATATTTGCCTGTATAGGAGACCGCAGCTTTCTTTCCTTTTGTGTCTTATAACCATCTCATAAGCTGCAGTGACTGATCTTGCTCTTGATTTAAAATGGGCATGGTTATGTAACAGAATGAATGAAAGAATGGAAGTTGGAACTCAACACCCACAAAACAACTGTGTCATACCCATGTACAATTATCCCATGTGCGACAGCGAAAGATTAGCCTCAATAATGCAGCAACGAATATGATATGGTTTACTAAATTTACACATAAGAGCTCTCACTTAATTTCCTAGTATGCCGCTTGAATGAAATACATGGTTTGACCGACTTGCCTTCATCAAGCAAATACAAGCCTTGCTTTTGAAAAGCACAGCAGTGATTAGTGCGTTTTGGCAGGCAACTGGCTCTGTAACCTTTGTTGATGCTGAGAAAAGCCTCTTATTTCTTTAACAATGATGTCAGACACCACGTGCTGTGTGGAAAAGATGTTACTCTGTGTCAAGAACACAACTAATGAGATTAGTACACAACTAAATATCTGAAATGGGAGTAAGAGCCATCCAGCTTTAAAAAAAAAAAAAAAAGAGTATTTAAGTTCAAGTCTCTTAAACCTATAGTGAAAGACTCTATGTCTAATAGTGAAAGAGCAAAGATAACTCCAGATTTTTGTATAAAAAGCTGGTTTGACATAATGAAAACCAGTGAGTGTGATATAACAAGTGACAATTAGTTTAGGCTGCAGAGGAAGGATAAATATTAGGCTGTTTTGTAATGAAAAAAAGTCTAATCTAGGTAGTCTAGAGAGACCAGAGTGAGATATCACGGTAAGAAGAGCGGCTGATGAAAGCTGCTTAGTTGCTTTATACCTAGAGCAACAATTTAAACGTTTGCATGGGAAGCTGTTCTGGAGCTCTTTCCATGAAAACTGAAAATTGGCATGGAGCACATTTCAGAAAGGGCAATGCAAGCTTTCCACGGGCACAAATTGTGAGAAGGTCCAGATTTGTGGCCCAGGTACACCGACTGAAAGGTGTTGGAAATCAAAGCTAAAGTTAGCCCAACATAATAATTAACTTCCAACTGTTCAGGCAATTCTCACACACAAAAAATGTTTTTTGTTAAAAAAAAGTTAACTATCAAAATAAACTATTTATATATCTCATGATGTGGATAAAAAAAAAAGTGATATTCAAAATTTAATAAAGCACATCAAGATCTGTGGGTAAATAAAAACAAAACTACTGGCCAAGGCTGCATGTGTTGTTTCATTGTTTGAAGGAATGGGATGTGTAACCATGTTGACTATGTTAGCAATGTGGAGAGTTGGAGAGAAAGTAATAGTCAACAGAGCCAAGAGCTGAAAACAATAGAATATCCCTGCTTTCAGGGCACGTAGTTTAAATGCAGCGGAAACAAGGCCCACCTTGGTCCTTGGGCCGGTCCACAGATGAGGATGTACTGTTGTAGACAGCAGCGCCAGGGGTTGGTCCCAGACAGCCTCCCGGAGACTTGAGCCGTTGGGAGTCACCGGGCATGGTGGGACCCACTGCCCAACCACTGGAACAACTGTTGTCCATCCCCACGTCTCCACTGGTGAAGGACGATCGGTTGAATCCGACTGACTCGTGGTCAGATTTTTCTAAAGACCTGTCAACTATGGTCATTGTTCATAGCTGCATTAGGAACAGAAGCAGGGTTGAGTGATGAGTTGAAGAAAACACGAGCTATTCCAAAGTTTACATTTTCCCAATTTCAGTTAGGAAAAAAAATGAATGCACAAATGACATATTATATCATATCACTACTTTGAAATAATAAGATAATAAGATGTTATTAAATAACACTGATTAAATGCATTTGCTAGAAGATAGCGACATCACTGTAGTTTAATTCATGGCCATTTATGAACCAATTGACCATTACTTAACTATCCATTTACCATTAATTGGGCAGGGGGTACTTTTTTGTATGATTGATCGGGTAAACGGTTCCAAACTTTTTGGAAAGTTAAGGACATATTGTGTATTGTTTGAACATTTTCTGATAACCTTGTGTGGAAGTAAGCGTCTGATTAATGTCAAATGGCAAAAATAAAGGCAAAAATAGGTGTCCATTTAATTACGATAAAAGTTTCCAAAAAATAATATTCTTCACGAAAAGTAAAGTTTTTTTTTTAAAATCTCACAGTCGGAAACACGTTTCCAACAGCAGCTGTTCCCTCCCACCTGCTCCAACAGACTCACTCACACTGGTTAACAGAGGGTAGCTAGGCCTTAAACACGCAGCGACTCACAATTTCAAGAAAACGCGTTGTCAAACAGGTTTAATTTGAAAGACGGACCACGAGCAACATTCTTACATAAGCCATCGACTACTGGAAAACAATGAGTTATAACAATCGGATCGTAAAGCCAACACAGTAAAATGAAGCGGAGAATGAAACGCAGAGCTACAGCAGGAAGCTAACATTGCGTGCCTTAGTACTTGTGCGGGAGGATCCTTGCTAAGGCGGCTAACTAGTAAGCTAGTTAGCATGCACAATGGACAGTGGATACCATGGCGGAAATACATATAGCTACGAACTAACATATTGCAGAAGTGTGTTTGGGCGTTAATTGAACATGTATTGTATGTTAAATCTGTGAGCCTTGGTGAAAGGACGCCTTTGAGAAAGGAGGGGCTCTACACCGGTGGCTGTTTGCTCATTGCGCTGCTCTTTCCGACATGACATCCAGAACCGGTGTAGGACTACTACAGCTAAACCCAGCGAATTAAATCTACAAAAATATTCTGGTTGCGTACTTATTATTACCCTTCACCATATGGGCAACTCGGCACTCACCTGGAATCTGTTATGAATACGTTAATGCCGGTTTTAAATCCATTCCTTATTTTCAGCGGGTGTCCGGCGGTGAACAATGACGTAGCTAATTGCCCCACGGGTACATCCGGGTACCTGCCATGAAACGCCGTTTCTGCCAAGTACATATCGCTGCACGACATATTGGACCGTCGAGCTCCGCCCAACTCCGTCGAGCTCCGCCCAACTCCGCCCATCCAACGTTCAACTCCGCCCGTCCATGACGCGGCCATTTTGATTTTGATTACGTGATTACGTCACTGCACGTTTTTTTTTTACGTGATTACGTCACTACGTCACTATCAAAAAAGCGCCGCAGCGATATGTACTTGGTTTATGGTTTAAGCTGTTTGAAAATGCGAAAATAGTTTCTGATAGGTCCTTTCAACCATATCCGTGTGGAACGTGTTTCGAGAAGATCCGTCGCTTTGACCTTACTATGCCTAATGCACAACCGTCAGAAGTACCATGCCAAAAATACTTTCATTTTCGTATTTCTGTGAATTACTTTGCCTGACAATATATTTTCTAAAGAGCTTTGCATTTACAACAAAACAGATGGTATTACCTCTGGCAGGAAAGACATTCAAACTGACCAGATGCACAGGTCCAGAGCAAAGTTTGAACATGCTTGCAAAATAACTGTATGCACACATATTGACATATCACTTACTTCACAATAGGCAAACATTAGATCGAACCATTGAGATAAGGGATAAAGAAGAATCTAAAGGTGTTTGTGTGTCAGTTTTCTTGTAAAAACATTTCCTAATTTTTATACGAGTGATAGATCTGAAAATGAAAAACGCTTAAAAGAATTCTCACAAACATCTTCTCAATTCTATCAGTAGATTCAACATAAATTTTATTAAGCACCTGAAAAAAAATGCGAAAGTAATTATTGCATCCCTATATTGAATTGTACAAGACACACCGAAATGTTCACACACATAGCCACTTGTACCAAGTCACACAACCAGGTACAATAATGGCAGAGTAAATCAAGTTTTGACAGTCTGAGTTTTGTTTGTGTTTTTTTTTAAAGGCTCAGGTCTCATCCAACTCAGAGAAACTAACTGTAACTTGAGAGCTCTGGAGGCGACTGATCTGCATCTTTAGCTGCATTATTTCCTCCTCCTGCTCTTCAACCCTTCTCTGCAAACCATGGATTACCTGAAGGAAAGAAAACATCTTTAAACTCTCATTTAGAAAAAAATCTTCACAGCTAATTAAGTGTAATTAAACTTTAATAGGAGAAAAAGGGAAATCTGTAAACACAAATAGGCAGTTTTTTTTAAAGTGCTAAAAGATTTTAAATTACCATGTCTTTGCTGCAGAAAAGTTCACTCTGTAGGAGCTGGCTGGCTGTGGGCCGTTCACTCGGCTCTTTACTTGTCAGCTTCATGATGTACTTGGTCAGAACTGGCCACCTGTGGCTGAACTGGTCTGGAATCTTCCCTTCTCGCAGATCTCCAAGGGTCCGGACCCGCTCCATCTCTGTTCCGAAAGGCTCGAACAGCTCAAAAGCCAGAATTCCGATGCTGTACATGTCTGACTGTGAATGCAATATTGACACTCTTGTTCAGTTGTTTTTTATTATGATACAAAATAAAGATGCAACACTCACAACTCCTAAAAAGAAGAGCAATGCCAGAGATTAATAACTAACATGTTTGAATGAAAATAAATGTATGGGTATTAGGCTGATGTTGACCTCATTACCTTTGAATCATAATGGGATCCTTTCAGTTGTTCTGGTGCAGCATACACAAATGTGCCAACACCTGAAGTGTGGTTGGAATCTGCAAATGGTAGAGTAATAAAACCACTTAGAAGATAAATGGTGCCACCTGCTGGTGATTTCAAAGCATGTCGACAAAAAACAAAAAAACATCACAAGCAATGTTACCTAGGCCATGAGAGGCAACACTTCTATTGCCATCCATGATTATATCTCTACAGGCCAGGCCAAAGTCTCCAATCCGAACACGACAGTCGTGACCATGAAGGAAAATATTCCTTGGCTGTGGAGACAAAAGGGGGGGGGCATGTTAGTGTTCTATGACATTAGACATACGTATGTAATTATCCCAAAAAATCGCTTGGTGTTTGACATGGAAAAAAATTTGAAAAATATGCTACAAGACTGTTAGGCAAATCCTACGTCACCCAAAAAAACAAAAAGAAAAATCTTTAAAAGTACATTGTTCTATACTTAATAATTTCCTTGAAATGCTTCCAAAAATGTAAACAATAATTGAAAAACACACTGAGCAACATGGCTGTCGAGCGTTCCACTTAACCCCTTTCACTGGCCCCAAACACAGACCGAAGTTATCAGCTGCAACAGAAAGGCTGCGCATCAAAGTTAGACATGCAGCGCTCAAGTCTAGACCAGCCTGACAAAGTCAGGTTGGGAAGACCAAACTAGACAAACCAGAACTGATTGGCACAGGAGAGGCTTCAAGAAACCCCAAGAATCCACTTCCGTTTGCATGCCCACCCTTTGAGACACACAGAGCAAGAGAACTCGCAGCACCAGGTTTATATGGAGAAACGCGAGGAACACCCAGATAAGGGGGGAAACATTATCAGTCCTATGAAGAATGAGTTCTACGCTGCAATTATGGACCAAGACGTGGAACTCACTTAAGATATGTCGAAGAAGTATGGGAGCAACTGTCTAATCCAGACACGAGACGAGGCATCTGGGGAAGTTGTCTGCACGGTAAATCCAATTACGCTTCCCTTTTTATCAAACAACAAGTAAGAAAACAACAGAAATGCTGCATTGTGTAATGACACTAATATCTATACGCAATGTAAAACTTCTACCCTCGTGCCCGTCTGCTCGCTTAAGGGATTTGCTGTCCCTCCCCTTCATCTGGCTGCGTCCTACAGAAAGACAGGCAGCATGCAGAGGCTGCTGTCAGCGGGGGCTGACGCTGAAATGAGGTATTGACCAGCTCTCTGAGCCCGCACACCGATGGCTCTTTCCCACGATTAGAGCACATAAATAGTTCAAAAGGACTTTGACCATAGTTATGATTCAATCGAATGAAAAAAGTAGCACAAAAACACAAATCTTTGCAGTTGGTTCCTTTCATCGGTAAGTAGCTGTGGGGTTTCCCTTCGTAGCGCTTTCACGACGCTGTCTCCGTCATAGGGACAGGCTCGGGCGAACCCCGCTACACTTGGTTACATCTGGCTGGCCCAACCTTCCTGACCCCCGGCCTAAACAGGGCTCCAAGTTCTGGAGGGCTCTGACTGGTGCGGAAAGGCAGGCGGAGGCCTGCTTACGACTCCTCTGCGAGCATGGAGCTAACGTCAATGCACAGGTGAACAGGTTTTTTCCACAGGTTTGTTGTTTTTTTGCAAGGAATCTATCTGTTAAACTCAACAGATTGACAGTCCGTCCAACAGCGATCGAGATGTTTAAATCCGCTGGTAAAATATTAGAAATAACAAGATACATTTTCTTGAAATGTACCATCTAAACTTTGAGCTTTGTCATGGTTCCTCCCTAGGTGGAGGGAAAAAGCCCCCAGACAGCTCTCCACATATCAGTGCAGCACAAGGCGCTGTCTGCTGTCCAGATTCTGGTCAGCTACGGTGCTGATGTTGATGCTGTGGACAGCAGTGGGATGACGCCCCTGCACATGGCAGCAGGGATGCTCCAGAGGGACATCATAGCCAGCCTGGTGAGGCAGGGGGCCGATATTAACGTGGTGTGTATTGTCCCTTTGATAAAGATGCTTGAATCGAGCACCTGCGGGAATATGAGCCTAAATTTCAACGTTAAATGAATATCTTTCTTTTTAAGGCGGTGCAGAATTCCGGAAACACTCCTTTGCACTTAGCTGCGGTGGCAATTGCTACAAAGATGTCTAAAACTACAGACGATGACATCGGCTGCGTCTCTGATCTGCTTGAGCTGGGAGCCAAGCCCGACGTAGCCAACGCGGCTGGAATGACACCTCTGCACGCGGCGTGCGCGATGGGCAGCAGGCAGCTGGCGGACGTGCTCCTGAGGCACGGGGCCGACGTCAATAAGCCGAGCGAAGCCGGGGAAACCTGCCTGTTCCTGTTCCTGAACCACAGGCCGGACTTAAAGAGCCCATCTCTGCTGAGCCGACTCCTCAGCCTGACCTCCCCGCTCACCATCTCCAACCGGAGCGGCGGCCTGCCTTCAGCCTTGACAGAACCGCGGTTCTTTCGACAGAGAGAGCGACTTCTCAAACTGCTCCAGCAGCCGGGGAGACTTCAGGATATTTGCAAGAGGGAAGTCTATTTAAAATATGTTGCAGGTGGGGAAGGGGAACTGAAAAAGGTGCTGCCTGACAGGCTGCTTGACTTTGTGTTCCGCCGCTGGGATGTTCAACACATTCTTTTTTGACGCAGACTGTGAGGAGGACTTTTTGGAAGTAGTGGATCTGATACTGCACCTCTATGGAAAAGTCCCGCTGGGACTGTATTGTTTTTTTTTGTTTTTTTAAGCTACAACAAACAATCTTCAATTTTAGAACAAATAAAGCCATCAAACGTTACCTTCAGGTCTCTGTGCATGATTCCCCTGGAATGGATGTACTCCACTCCTTCAAGTATGTGTCGCAGCAAGCTGAGAGTTTGTTCTGTATTAACACAGCTGTATGGAGCTGAAAACCAAAACACAAGACGTCCACTTAGAAAAATATATATTCTGCATCTTGTGAATTAATTATAGGCATGGAACTCACTCAATGTGGCTTTAGAATACATGGTAAATGAATACGAAACAATTACAAGTTGGGATGTGCTGTTCTTGGGGCCTGGCGTTTCTCTCAGAAATCCAGTCCTTCAGGGAGCGCTCGCACAGCTGCATCTGGATATAAAGCATCAGGTGGAACTGCACCTGTGCATGGAGAGGAGTCGCACATGAAAACTTCCCATTTATATCGAGTCGTCCCCTTTTTCTTTAAAAAAAAGTCAAAAACGTGCGTCTTGCGTCAAACAGACATTTCAATCTCCACCCTTTGCAAACCTTAGAGCACCGACCTCTTTAGAGGTCCTCCTCTTGTGTTTGTCCGTCCACTGCTGACACTCGCTCTCGACGCAAGAGTTGTTGTTTAGTTCGTTGCTGCTCCTGCTGGACTCCGTCTCTAAGATGGCAGAGCTATCCCAGTCCATGCCGGGACATTTGGAGTTTTTGGCGGCTCCTCGCTGTCCCAGGAACACGCAGGGGACGTAGTTCTCTGGGAGGCGCTGCGTCGTCTTCGGACAGCCCACGTGTCCCTCTTGGGCTGAAACCAGGGCTTTCGCAGACTGTGCGTCTCCTGGGGTTTCTTGGGCACTTGACGCGCCGTCTGTGGAAGCTCTGCTGTGGCTTTGGAAAACTATGGAGGAACTGGTGCTGCTGCAGTCGGCGTTGTCGCGACTGTGGACGAGAGTGGAGGCGGATTGTAAACCTCAGCTCACCTAAGCCCTGGGGACCACGCTACCAAGGACGCTAGCCTCACCTGTCTTGTTGTCCAGGGGACTCCAGAGCTGGGAGGAATGGCTCGGGATCTGCAACAAAGGCAGCCCAGACTGTTAAATAAGCATTCACCTCTCTCTGAACTGTCCGTTTTCAGCCTTAGGGGAAAACACTCACACGTCGTGGGCTGAACATGCTCCATCCACGCCGTGTGATAGCCAACGACATTTACGTGCTGCAGGCTGGACAGCACTTTCACTTCCCTCAGGACCTGAACCAAACCAAAGGACAGAATGGGTCTATGCATTCACACATAACGAAGAAAGAACTAGCAGCAAACCTCGGATGGCTCACCTTCATGCAGTCCTCTTTAGAAACTTGTTTGATGAGGATTTTCTTCACAGCATAATATTGTCCATCCAGTTTGTTTAAAACCTAGGCATTTCAAAGACCGGGCAGTTATGCTGACGAACTCCAATTCGCTACTTAAAGAAGTTTTGTAAGAAGAAAGAGGCAGGAAACAGCTCAATACCTTAAAAACATTACCGTACGATCCTTTCCCAAGCCGGCAGATTTCCTCAAACTCACTAAGATACCGTGAGGCCTGAGCTTGAAACAGTCCCTCCTTTGACCTGTTGGTGAGCCAGAGACATTTTAAACCATTCCATTAGAAGTTCTTGGAAGCAGTATGTGGAGAAAATCTAGCTTTAAAATACTTCACCTTAAAGCTGGATTGTGAGAATTCGCGCCGAGACGTTGGCCCTGCGAAGGGGAAAGGAGGCCAATTGATAATGGGACCGAGGACATGAAAAAAGCATCACACAGGTAGGATCAGTGCAACTGTAGAAGCCCGACTCAGGTTTTACATTTGCATCTATGATCAGGACATTTGAACAAGTAAAAAGCGAGCTACCTGCGGGTACAGTGATGAGCTTGCAGCGTTAAGCAGCTCAGTGAAGGCCCGGTTGTGCTGAAGTCTAACGGTGCTGAATTCATCGCTAATTGCCAAGGGCGAGAGGAGGTTCATGGCGGCTAAACGCTGGCCAATGACTGGCCAGGAGAGGGAACCAAAGCAATGTCAATTCAGGACAAGAACAGACTGCTAGACAATAGGTGTGTTCGAGGCGACGTCGGCGCTGAGTAAAATACCTTTGAAGAGCATGCGCGAGCGCGCCGGGTTGCTCTCGTAGACGCAGCACAGGTGCTCCAGGAGAGAGCCCAGGAGGAGGTGGTTGGGGATGGCTGACGCAAACTCTTGAATCGATGGATAATGCCGCCCAGCCATCAGTACCTCACGGTTATCATCTGAGTCAGAGGCTGAATGTGTCAAAGAGAAAAAAAAAAAGTATGAAAAAGCAGAAGCAGCTGCACAGAAAAACAAAAAGGTCTCACTGATCTTAGAGAATTTTAAAGTCTCAAGACCTAAAATACACAATTTATACTGTTTCATAAGAAAAACAAATAGGAAGTTCTATAACCTGTGGCCTACCTTCTTCAATTACTTTGGCTATCATTTCAACAAGGCTTTTCTCTCCTAGGTCCATTTTTATACGGGTGAAATCCGCTTTCAGCACAACTATATCCTCTCCCAGCAATATCAATGATCCCCGCCTCCACTCAGAGACTTGAAATGAGCTCATCTTGTTGATCCAAAACGGGGTGTGCACAGCAGTGGGGCTTATCTGCCATGTCCAGTGGAGACCAGCCCCTTCAACTACTGCACACATGACCGAGCTAAGAACTCACACACTGTGCCAAAAACAGGAAGGAGTTGCCTTCTCAGCTTCTCATTTTTGGATTTCATGACCTCATCTTGCAGGATGCGTGGAGGTGCGTGTCGACATTACCATATGTACATAGCAATGAAATGGAATATTGACACAACACAATGTTAATAGATGTGATTTATGTGCAAAGTAAACTATTTATTTTAATTGCCCATACTACTATTCAAAGGGTCTCTACAAACTTTCAGAATGAAATAATGTAGTAAAAAACAAACCACAACACCACTTATCAGATAGAACCATCTTAAGAAAATGTAACAATACAACTGTGCTGATTATCAACCATTTCTTCTTTTAACCTGAAGCTCTTTATATTTTTCAATTAGCTTGTAAAGTCAGTTTGAAGATCAAGCTAACACTAAGACATTGATGTTTGCGTGCTCATAACTCCTTTGATACAATTTGATACAAACCGATGTCAATCTATAGTTGCAGAGTTTACAAAGTTATTCTTAGCTTTTCCACATTTATCCATAAATAACTTTCAGTGATATGATTGTAACCAAGCCTTGCTATTAAACTGTAGCTCCTAATTTCTGGTTGCTCTTTTTACTTCTCCTGTGTCATTTAAGGCTATAGCACATATTTCTAATTTTGTAATAAAGATCAGCCATCTCAGGGTGCATCAACCAATTCACCTCCATGTGCATAAGTTAAACTTTCTGTTTTTTAATCCTACAACTTGATACACCTCTAATAGTGCCAAATATCAGTGCGGTGAATTGATACCAAATAAAACGAGCACATTTGGAGGATCTTGTTGAAAAATAAAAACCCCAATGCTCATGAAAGAGGGTTATGATCAATGCAGCCTAAATGTAGCTTTAAAACTATAGTTCATTTAGCCCACTGGGCTGGACTATCCTTTCCTACTTTCACTGATTGATACATTAACCGTTAGGTTTGCTCAAAATGAAACATCTTTGGAGAAGTGTCAGTTTACTGGTCAGAATAACTATTTTGAAACTGCTGCTCATAAAAGTAAACGGTAACACTCAAATAACAGCCAATAACTCTCGTACAATCAAAACCAACTACGTTGCAATCTGCACTTCATAGTTATATCGACTTCAAACCAATAAAGGATGCAATACAACCATTCAAGGAAGATTCCCTCAAGGCTTTAAACGTCGTGGACAAAATAAACACAATACCACAAGCTAAAAGCTAAAAGCACAACAGCACAAAGGTGTATTCACGGGTATCTACGTAAATCCGAATAAGAAATGGAAAGTTTAAGTTAACCTTGAGGCTGGGGGTGTACTTACCTGCTAATGTGTAATCTTAACAGTTTATGGTTTTTAATTTGTGTGTTTCTCTCGCGAGACCTGGCATCCAAGACCCTAGCTTGCCCAATAATGTCATCTAAGCATTCTGGGTTTAGAGGTATATTTATTTATGTTTACATTCCAGAAAAAACATCTTACTGTCAAACTGGACATCCCCGTCTTCCTCGCTTGCCAAACTTAGCAAACTATATTCACACTCGAGCTCTCGTATCCTGACAGGTTTAAGGTTGTTCCGGACCAACAAGTTGCTGCTGCTACCAGAACATTCCTCCGAGCGCATGATGCCGTTGTTGAGAGTTGAACTGTACATTTTGGACGAAAACACAAACTTGGCAACACAAAGCTACCCCATGTCCGTTGCGAGAAGCATAAAACTACTCAATCAACACCCCCTGTCAATATTTACATGGGGATAAACTGTTAGAGCAAAAAGCCCAAAAAACTCCCTACAAGCGCCGCCATGTTAACGACCGGCCATGAATCCTGGGTAGACAGCAGGGAACGTGAGACCCGTAACGTGTGTTGCCAAAAAAGGAAAACACGAGTGTGCAAAATCTATTTAAAAAAAACACAAAACACAACCTGAAAATGTTCATGGAGAAAATGCACGCCAATAAAAGAAAATAACACAAAGTCAATGCATTGAGAATAAAGCCGAGGCCAATTACATTTTACGTTTGTTTCTATTACGAGTGATTTGCGCACGCGCCCTAACCACCTAAACGTAAGACGTGAGTGATGAAATTCTACAGAAATACTACAGAGTTTAAGGCAAGTTTTTTTTAAACTCTTTTTTGTATCATTTAGTTTGTTTTATATTAGGAGATAATATTTATGTTTTAGGGAATGTATCTTTGCAAATATTCTGTATTTTACAGTATGCGCATTTATAGCGCAGTTGCAATTCTCGCGAGCAAAGTCTTCTGTCCGCGCGGGACAGAGTCGCGTTTTTGTTTACAAGGGGATGCAGTGTGGAGTTAGTGGAAATAAAATAGCCTAATTTGACTATGAGGACTCGTTAGGAGGCGTCCACTCCTGTTTCAGATCAAGCTGTCTGGAAAGCGGTCCCCCCTTGAAGATGTCTGATATTTGGTAGGCTATTTTCACTTCACTTGCTCCTGTTTTCAACTTGTTTCCAGATATTTTTGCACGTGCACCATGCAAATAAGCTATGTTGAATATGTATGATGCATTAAACTCTCATTTGATGTATATTGGTTGGATTCTGAGGTCTATTTAGCTTTATAAAGATATAGTCCGATGGTTTTTTGGAATTATTAAATCCCTTTAACTCTGGTCAATCGAGTATCATTGTCTCAATTTTTGCCACCTATTGTTGTTTGTAACACTGGATCGTCGTCTTCTAATAGCATCTACTTAAACCTACAGTACTACTGCGCAGATCGCATCAGTATAATTGATTGTTGCTGTTCTTCCTCAGCAGCTCCGAACCTGCTGGAGCCATCAAGGCCATCGACAAGCACTCCGTGCATCAGATATGTTCAGGACAAGTCGTGCTGACTTTGGCCACTGCTGTGAAAGAGTTGGTGGAGAACAGTATTGATGCAGGAGCCACGAACATTGGTAAGCATACTCATACCATAAGTATATTTCCATGCAGTTTATTTCCTATATTCTTTTAAAAAATATATACAGTGCGCTTCAATAGAAGTTGTCCCTTCCGTTCCCAATATGTAGATGCCATCAACCTTCTTGGGGAGTCTTGACACAATTTTGTTGCAAAGCTAATTGAATTGCAATAACGCTATTTACCTTTAATTAGTTTTGTAGAGATTCCGTCTGCAAAATATATATGAAAGAAATGTAATATATATTCATTTGCATATAATTCCTGTAATATGCTCAGTATCTCCTTTTTTGTGCTCCAGATGTTAAGTTGAAAGAGTGTGGAGTGGAGCAGGTGGAAGTGTCTGACAATGGCAAAGGTGTCGAGGAGGCTAACTTTGAAGGACTGAGTCAGTATCTTTGTATTTTCAGTCATAGTAGATAAGAGTTATTTACGATTTCTTGTAAAATGAACATTCTTTCATGTGTTTACAGCACTTAAGCACCACACATCAAAGTTAAGAGATTTCTCCGACCTCATCCACGTGGAGACGTTTGGCTTCCGGGGTGAAGCTCTCAGCTCTTTGTGTGCTCTGAGGTGAATGCTTCGCTGGCACCCTTTATTCTGCAAATAGTCCCAAATCATTTGTCTTCTTATAAGCTAAGTTTGCCTCTGATTTCTTGTCACAGTGATCTAAGCGTTATCACATGCCACGAGTCCACCCAGGTAGGCACCAAGCTTGTGTTTGACACCAAAGGCCACCTGGTGCAGCAGTCGCCTCATCCCCGCCAGCAGGGGACCACAGTCACCCTGCAGCAGCTCTTCCACACCCTCCCCGTCCGGCACAAGGAGTTCCAACGCAATATTAAAAAGGTCCAAATTGAGAGTTTCTACATGGTTTTTAGCTTTAAGTTTCGTTTACTTCCTGGCCCTCGTCCACAGTTTGGACGGCACGGTGGTGTGGTGGTTTGCACCATCGCTGGGTTCAAGTCCCCAGGGGAACCAGGACCTCTCTGTCTGGAGATGGCATGTTCTTCCAGTGTCTATGTGGGTTCTCTCCGGGTTTTCCGGCTTCCTCCCACAGTCCAAAAACCTGCATGTTAGGTTGATTGGACATTTCAGGGCTGAGTGTGCGTGGTTGTTCGTCTTTGTGTGTTTGTATGTGTGGCCCTGCGATGGACTGGTGTTCAATGCCTCTCGCCCATTGAATACGGGGATAGGCGCCAATCCCCCCTGTGACCCCATTTGGGAATAAGTGGTTCAGAAAATGGGGCAAAAATGATGACACTGACTGAAAACCCAAAGGATTTGTTTCTCTGTTATGTCACTTGTTCTTCGGATTTCATTAAGCCATCAGTTGCTTAAAGAAATGATTGGTGCTCTGTTTTTTTAATTGAATTCCAAGGATTTCCTTGTTCTGTGCTTTCAGGAGTATGCCAAAATGCTACACGTCCTGCAGGCCTACTGCGTCATCTCCAGCGGCGTGCGCATCAGCTGCTCCAACCAGAACGGACAGGGAAAGCGCAGCACCGTCCTCTGCACCAGCGGCAGCCAGAGCATGAGAGACAACATCGGGGCTGTGTTTGGAGCAAAACAGGTTAAAAAAATTTTTTTGTTTTTCTCATCTTTCTTTATGCTACTCGATGGCGTTTTTAAATTTTGCCCACTGGCATTGCTAAATTGATCAAAATTTTATCAAAAAGAACCGTTTTTAAATTGTTTTGGCACTTTTACCTTTCTCTGTGCTGCAGATCCAGAGTCTTCTGGCTTTTCAGCAGATGTCTCCTACTGAAAATGTTATTGAAGAATATGGGCTCAGTGGGGGAGATCTACCCAAACAGCTTTTTACGTAAGTGTCACCATCCAGTTGAAATCATGAGTGCTCTCTGTACTCAGATCTATTTTTAAAAAACCTTAAAAAAACAGCATCACAGGGTTTGTGTCGCGGGGGGACCACGGTGTGGGGCGAAGTGCTACAGACAGGCAGTTTTTCTTCATTAACAACAGGCCATGTGACCCCACCAAGGTAAGTCAAGTTAAAAAGATTTATCAGGAGATTTCCGTGTGGATTTTTTTTTCTCCCCCCGACCTGTCTCTATTCACACACTGCAGGTTACCAAACTTGTGAATGAGGTTTATCACATGTACAACAGACACCAGTATCCATTTGTTGCCTTGAACATAGCCGTGGCCTCTGGTGAGAAAGTCCAATGATTATACTTGTGTAGTTTTTGAAAGGGAAAAAAAAAGAAAAAGGGGACATTCGGTTTTATGACAGAGTTCATGTTTTTATTTTTTCAGAGTGTGTGGATGTTAACGTTACGCCTGACAAACGGCAGATTTTCCTTCAGGAGGAGAAACTATTGTTGGCTATTCTGAAGACTTCTCTTATCTCTATGTATGAGTCCGGAGTCAATAAAATCAGCCTGAACTACACACCCACAGCTAGTAAGAGCTCACCTTGACAATGGTTATGAGTGTTTTTTATTAGAATTGGTATTAATGCTATAGTACTTTTATTTATTTTTTCTGTTGTTTTTGTTGCCAGAGGTATCATCAGTGTCTGGCCAAACCATCTTGTCTCATGAGAACAAGGCAGAGCCTGGACAGGAAACCCAAACACCGAGTCAGAGCCCGAAGTCGTCCATGAACCTGTCCAGCCTCAGAGCTGCCTTTGCAAATCACAGCGGCACAGCTTCTGCCTCCAAATCAAGAGACGGAAAGGCTTCCAACAGCGGCCCGACACAGAAAACACTACAGGGTTTTTTCAAAGACTCTGTAAAGGCCTCGGCCTGCAGCCCGAGTGAGAGGTCGCCATTGAAACCTGAAAGAGAAGCTTCTAAACGGCCCCCAGTGGGAGCGTCTCTTGATGGGTTCAGGTATGGAAAGACGCCATGCAGCGATGGAGACTCTGAAAAACACGATGCTGAGTCCAGCTGTGAGTTTACAACAGCAACAGCGGACACACAACGCTCCCCTTCAGAAGAAGGTTCCCCTGAACCTGTTACAGACTTCTACTCTTATACAGTAACACTGCCATCTAAACAACCCTGCACAGATCTAAACAAAGATGACCCTTCCCCTGATCACACAGCACTACAGACTGAAGCCCGCTCACCTGATAAGAACTCCGCCGGGAGCCCGGAGGCTAAAAGAGCCAGGGTGGACAAACCCCGACTTCCTGGCGAGGAAAAACGTCCAACCTTCCCAAGCGGTCCTTCGGAGGCCGATGCCCCGGCCCGCCTGAGGAGGAGGAGGACGATGCGCGTGGCGTTCTCTCTGCCAGAGCTGTCGGGGAACATGGGCAGGCTGAAGGAGCAGCGGAAACAGAATTCCGGCGAGGAGCTGCGCTACAGACGCTTCAGGGCCAAGATCAGCCCTGCCGAGAACCCCAGCGCAGAGGACGAGCTCAAGAAGGAGATCAGGTGGGGGTTCCCCTCCAGGACGGTGGGTTTGTAACGGCAGCAGGCCAACGGCGGTAAACGATCTGTCCTCCGTTCCGTTCCCCCGCAGTAAGGAGATGTTCAAAGAAATGGAGATAATCGGCCAGTTCAACCTGGGCTTCATCATCACCAAGCTGAACTCGGACATCTTCATGATCGACCAGCACGCCACGGACGAGAAGTACAACTTTGAGATGCTGCAGCAGCACACCGTGCTCCAGGGACAGCGGCTCATAGCGTACGGACCACCATCTGTCAGGAATACATTGGTCAGCGCACAGTTTTGTTTGCCTCTCTGACTGACACGTTTTCTTTTTTTTCTCTGTCTCTTCATGCTTGCAGCCCACAGAAACTTCACCTCACTGCAGTCAGCGAGAACGTGCTCATAGAGAACCTCGATATTTTCCGAAAGAACGGCTTCGAATTTCTGGTGGATGAGGATGGTATGACCGCTGAAGGAACATTTAATACGAAATATTGACCCCGTGCCGATTGAAAAATCATTACGTTTCACCTTGATGAAATGGATTCTCTTTGTTTTTTTTGTTCCCGCAGCTCAGGTGATGGAGAGGGTTAAGCTTGTTTCGTTGCCCACCAGTAGAAACTGGACCTTCGGCCCGGCTGACATTGAGGAGCTGATCTTCATGTTGAGCGACAGCCCGGGTGTCATGTGCCGCCCGTCAAGAGTCAGGCAGATGTTCGCCTCCAGAGCTTGTCGGAAATCTGTGAGTTTGCATCAGCCTAAGCCCACCCACGAGCATTCTCCCATTGTTTTTGTCCAGATCAGGATGAGATGTTTACGGAAACGCTGCAAAGTCATTTAGTTTTCCATGAATTTGTACGTCGAAAACGTCCAGAATAGGAGACATTTTCACATGGATGTTGGAGCTCAATGGGCTGTGGTAAAACTAGGCTTTGGCCCAAATACTTGTTGATTTCACAATCTACAATGATGTTCAATTTTTAAATGTGTAGCATCTCCGTATTTCTTACTAAATGGAATTCATTTTTGTCGTTCTGGCTGGTGTCCACCTTCAGGTGATGATTGGCACTGCTCTGAGTGTGAGCGAGATGAAGAAGCTTGTGGTTCACATGGGGGAAATCGAGCATCCGTGGAACTGTCCGCATGGCAGGCCAACCATGAGGCATCTGGCCAACCTGGACATCATTTCACAAGACTGAGGCCGTTCAACTGGGACCTCTTAGAGGAATTCACTTTATCATGACCAGTTGTAATTTGAATGTACCATAATTACATCCAATGTTCTGGATTGCTGTTTTAGTTTGAACATTGTTTGTTGATGTCCTGGTTTTAGTCCAACTTTGCATTCCGTGTACATTAACATTTCTGCTTATTTTTAGATGGCAATAAATTGAGACCAAATAAGTATTTTTTTCTTACTTGAATTTACTTGGGTACATTTTTACAAAAAAATGTTCATATTTGATCATTTAGGGTTAGGGTCACCAAAAACATATTTTAGGTGATTACTCTGTAATATAACTGGTTCAAGATTTCAAAACTTTTAATATTACAAAATTAAATCTATTTGGTTGATTATTTCATGTCCCTATAGTTTTTTATTAAGATAATTTAGTTATGATCCATGATACAAATCTCTTTAATTGTGACTGTATTAAATTTGCAGAATATTTAATTCAGTGTCTGAATTATTCCTCATATAGTCTTTTATTCATTTTTACAACAAATTTTTATTGACCTCTTTCACAGTTTGGACTATAATATGTTAACAAAGTGATGCACAGATTTCTGTGCACATAATAGCTTCTGTTGATTCATCTGTTGTAAAAAAAATAAAAATAATAAATAAATAAATAAAAAGCTTTTTCATCATGACACAAATAAGAAATTAAAATAAAAAAACGTCTTACTGCCTGTTTTGTTTTGACGGCTGAATGCAGCTCAGCCGTCTCGCAATCTCGAGTTTCTTGACTTAACAAGGACGCCGTAGTTCTGTGTACCCAGCTCCGTTGCCATGGAGACGTTTCTAACTAACTTCACAGCAGGATGAGAAAGTTTGAGATAAATAATGTGACCGCTCCAAACCAAGGCAACCAATACAAAGAGGAAAGCTGCGGAACCGAAAAGTCACACGAAGCAGAAAACAGAAAAATGACGGAGCTGGTGAGGTGGTCGGAAAATTTCAATTTAGGAGAAGTAGATCAAACCAACCAACAGCGTCGAGAAGACCAAAGTAAGCAGAATGAAGATAGCTGCGCACACGAACCCCACGCACTTGTTTTCCTGAATATAGAAAGGTAATTCGTGACTGATAATACCGATTAAGCCACCTTAGTCTTTGGAGAGTTCACTCTAAAAACATAAAGCTGCGACAAAAAGATGGACGCCTGTTCTGAACTGTGTTTGTGTGTTAGATATGAAGGAGAAACCAATGAAGGGCACTTCCACGGAGACGGCGTCGCTTTCTTTGAAGGAGGACATCATTACAAGGTTTAGATGTTGCTTATTTCAATGTTCATTTCGAATGAATCAAACTGTGACTCTTGATGCAGAAATCTTAAAATGACATCAGAGTAAAACTGATTACAATTAAGCTATTTTTTGTTGAAGGGTACATTTTCCAAAGGACTGATGGAGGGATTTGGCGTCTTTACAATGGCAAATGGACTGAAATATGAGGTAAGGGGAGACATGACTAAAAAAAAGGCCTTACCACACAATGACCAATGTCCTGAACGTGAAACGTGTCCACACATGGTAGAATCAGAGTGCCTCTTGGTAATAAACGGCTCAAACCGACAGGGAGAATTTGTGGGAAATACATCGATGGGCCGGGGTACCTATACCTGGCCACATGGCAGCACCTATGTAGGAGAAGTCCACAATGGTATTCGACACGGGATGGGAACCTACAAGTGTGCCAAAACCAGCCTGTCCTATACAGGGCAGTGGCACAGGGGCAGATGGCACGGGCAGGTATGGTCCCCTCTTTTTTGTTCCAGACATGACTTAAGCAGAGTTTCAAATGATTTGTAAAGTATTGGGCTTTGACTGGTCTCGTCTGTGTTAGGGCAATGCCTATTATAACATGGATGGGACTTCTTGGTACAAAGGGGACTGGGTGATGAGCAGCAGGGAGGGACGGGGAGTGAGACGGTAAGTACATTACTAAAAAAGCATGCACAGTTTCTCAGGTGTATGGGAACAGCCCAGAGATAAGACCTGTTTTTTAAACAGCTACCCATCTGGTAACATTTATTCCGGCGAGTGGAAGAACAACGTGAGGCATGGCGAGGGCACGATGAGGTGGCTGAAAATGAGGCAGCAGTACGTTGGGGGGTGGCAGGACGGAGTCCAGGTGAGTAGACCACCGCTCAGACTCTGAGCTCATTCATGTTAACTTGATTGGAATTTTTTTTAACTCTAGCTTTCCCTCCCAACAGCATGGTCGGGGCACACTCGTCTGGATGCTGCTGCGGGCGGATGGATCCCAGTATTCCCAGAGCAATCGCTACGAGGGCGATTTCTTTCACGGCCAAAGGCACGGAAAGGGGACTTTTTTCTATGCTGGCGGTGCCATCTACAAAGGAGAGTGGAGGAACAACAAAAAACACGGGCAGGTCAATGAAACCCAGAGCATCACCTCTCGCTACTGACCACCGTTTTGGAAAGGACAGGATAAAAGTGATTCTAGTCATGAAGCAAGTCTTCGTGTAAGTCCCAGGGTGCGTCCTTAACATGAGATTGTGGTCTTTGTGCACTCTGTGGTTTTAGGGCAAATTCACCTTTAAGGATGGGCGGGTTTTTGAAGGGGAGTTTGTGGAGGATCAGATGATGGATGGAAGCAGAGCTCCTTCTCCGCTCGGTACAAAGAAAACCCGGCAGTGTTTTGTAGGTGAACCCCCAAAAAATAAAGAAGGATGTTAGCTTTTGTCACTATCTGGTCGCAGGTGGGTTTCCTTTGTCAGGCAGCGACTCGACTATACTGGGACCGGACATGGCTCTGAGCATCGGGTGTCTTCTGGAGAGAATCCCTGAGAACAGGCGGAACGTGGAGCGCAAACAGGTCAGCTCCCTGCCCTCCAAAGTGGAAAAGATGTCAGCGGCAGGTCCCAACGCTCTGGCTCTGGCTAACGGTTCACAGGTAGAGTCCGTGGTGCTGCAGAACCACACGGAGCTGAGGTCCATCTACAGTTTCTACAGCAGGCTGGGCCGGCCCCACTCCCCGGACAACACGTTCCGGCTGGCGCGCCTGAGCTTCTGGCGCCTGCTCAAAGACTGCAACGTCCACCGACTCGGCCTCACTCTGACACAGATGGACCGTTTTATTGGAGGTAAAAATACCCTACCATTCGGCGTCCGCTCAGAGCTGTCAAAAGGACGGTTGTTACATTTGTTTTTTGCGTTCCAGAGGAGGCTGATGCGGCAGAGGTTTGCTCTCCTTTCACCCCGCTGCTGCTGCGCCAGCTGCTCAGCAGTCTGGTGATCGTGGCCTACCACATCTACAGCAAAGACATGGCGTAAGAAAAAGAGAGCGACTTCCAAAGATAATCAGAGAATGCCAGGACAACATCTTATCTTTGTTAGTTTTTTTCAAATCTATATTTTTCAGGTTTGAAAATAATCTTCTGGCTGCCTGCTTGTCCAAACTGATAACGGATTCCATTCTACCAAATGCGAAGACGGTTAAAGGTACACATGCTGTATTACTGTTACATGGATGTAGACACACCGACTATGACAAAGAGATTGTAAATTTGGGAATTGTAAGAAAATGGCTAAACTTACTCACAAGTGAAGCACAATTTGACTATTTCACAAATCCTAAAACCTGATTTGTGTTATCACTATTCTTAGGGTGATTTATGCTCTTTTTATTTATTCTAAATTCTTCTGAACTGCTTTTTTTTTTTTTACATTCATTAAAGTGTGGGTTTCTTGTACGTTTCGTAGAACCACTTGATTCACTCTGAATACTTTCAGAAAAAAACAAATACCACTGAGAGATGGGCATGAAATTGAGATGAATTACATGCATTCAATTTAGGAAAAAAACAAAGAATTTTCAAAAATCCGAATGAAAATCAATGTAAATTTCCAAATATGTCAAAGGAGTTGTTGACGTGCTCACATCTTTCATATCATGTTCCACATGCGTATTTTCCTGTGGTGTCCAGATTTTCTGTTTAAGCACCCAGACTTTTCCGTGGAGGCTATGAAGTACACAACGCGATGCTGGGAAGTATATGAGACTTTCTGCAAGGCCAGCGCCGCTTGCAGAGACAAGACCATGACCTGCCGACACCTGCTGTGGATGTTCAAGGTACAAAAAGCTACCAACTCAAAGGAATATGCAAAAACAACCGATCGTGGTTCATTTCCAATTGGCATTTCTAGGTAGATTCTGAAAACCAGGCAGCTGGTTGCTTCAAAGTTGTCTCGTTTCATCCAAAAGATAAAAGGAGGAGTTTGAGAAAACTTTTTAAAGGCTCTCTGATTGGTTCAGACATCATGAAAACACGTTCTAGTCATTGTAGTTGATGCTCTTTGACAGGATCTCCATCTGCTGGACCACATGCTGACCACAGCCAGACTACTGGAGATCATCACGGCTGAGAGTGGTGACCACAGCAACCTGTCATCTCATCTGGAGCTGGAGGTTTTACCCATGATCACACATTCATTTTCCACTGCCAGATGGATGATCATATAACTCGTCCAGTGGTGGTTTGTTTAAGTTAAATACATTTATCTGACCTGATGTGTTACAGCTCACTTTCCTGGAGTTTTTCGAGGTGCTTGTTGGCTGCTCGGAGGTGAAACACCAGCAGGTTTCTGATGTCACGGAGCAGGACCGGCCTCTGCTCGACATCCCAGCCAAAAAAGATCTGTCTGAGGTGGAGGTAAATGACAAGATGGCCCTCTGCACCAAATATGTGCTCTATACGAATGCCAATCAGCTTTTACAGTTAGAAAATCTGTCCAACAAAATGCATTTCTAGTAGCTTTTTTTAAATAAACACATCTCTCTATCTAGTTTTTATGATAAACTTTTATTAATAGACAGGAGGCCTCACTGGTCAAGATGATAAGAGTCAACACGTGAGGACAGAGGATCACAGAACGCCTCAATCTACAGGTTCTTCTGTTTTAAGTCATTTGAATTCGGAAAAAATTCTATGTATATTCTTAAATATTTTCATACTCAGATCCAATTTATTTATTTTGGTTCTATTTGGTAGAGTGGGAGATAAGAAGCCGTGCAAAGGAGGAGCAAAACAGTGAAGCAGATGCCAAAGACGGCAAACTCAGCCTGAGGATCCAAAAACTTCATCGGTTTTTTAAACACGTTTTCTTCCCTGCATTTGATCATCACCAAACGGTAACAAAAAGAGTGGAGACGCTCATCCAGGAGACACGAAGAGACAAAGCCACATCAGAACATCCGTGAAAAGATTACAATCCGCATTTATTTTGCTGTCTTAGATTAGAATAAGATCCACCACTAACATTTGTGTGAAAAATAAAAACAATAAACCCAGTAACACTCACAGGTATTCAGATATATACACACGTGTCCTCAGCTGATTTAGCTCGGAGTGCCTGTTGTAGGTACAGAAAGACGACATCCTCCGTTCAGTATCTGAGTCACCCAGGCTAAACATTCTGATCAGGTCAGTAATAAAAAAAGGACAGAATAAAAGAAAGAGGGTGCGCTACCACTTGAAAAGGACGATGCGCCGTTTCCTGCTCGTGAACAAAAACTATTTTTTTCCCCCTGCTCATCTAAATCTGAGTACGAAAAATCCAAACGTTGAAGCTGGCGATTTCCACGGCCGTCCTGCTGCTAAATGCCCGGAGGGGTGAAGACCATCAGGTCAGTGGGACAGACGGACTGGCGTATCCGGTCCTTCAGGTCCGGGGTGAACAGGAGCAGGGCGGACTCCGCCGTCTGGGCCTGACAACGACACGGTCGGTTCACAAAGGTCAGTGTCAACGAGAGCGGGTAGCTGTGGATTTAAATGCAGAATGAGCGGAGGAAAAGCCTTTAACCTGAGGTGAGTGGAGAGGAAACACCGAAGGCACCGCTGACAGAGCTGTGACGGGGCGAGCACCACGAGTGAGAAAACAGGAGTTATTCCACAGAACGTCCTGGTGAACGCGCGTTTAGACGGCTCCTACCTGGCTCCTGCTGAATCAGCAGTTCCTCCGCTCCGCCTCTGGGACTCTCCATCTCCACGTCTGCCGCCGCGGGCGACAAGCCCTCCCCGGCAACGGTCTCCCGGGGCGACAGGCTGCCCCTCTGCGAAGGCTGAAGGTAGCGCTCGAAGTCCAGCCCTGGAATTTCCTGAGGCGAGAACCACGGGGGGAGAGGGGGGAACGGGTTTATTCTTTTGGCGGTCCGGAAACAAGAACCAATGAGATGCTAAATGAGGTTTACCTCGAGGGCCGAGCCGTCGGGCGTCTCCACGCGGAGGCTCGCCGCGGGGGAGGAGACGGGAGGCTGGGCGGGGGTGGTGCAGGGTCTCAGCACGAAGCTCAGGGCCGCGGGGGGCTCCGGGGCCCGGGCCGGGGGAGGCGTTCTGCACGGGGAGAGGCGGAGCCTCGGGGTGACGGGAAAGCCGGTTGGGTCTGACTCCCCTTGCTCCTTTTCCACGGCGCCGGTCGGCGGGCGCGGTCCGGGCGTGGCCGGGGCGGAGACGGGGGCGGCGTCTTCTCCTGGCCGGCGTGGAGAACCGGCCTCCTTGGCGGGCGAGAAACGGAGGGCGGTGGCGGCGGCGCCCTCCCGGTGGCGGGGCGGCCGGCGCTCGGCAGACGGCGTTGCCTCCAGGGTCAGGCGGAGCGGCGCCGGAGTGCGAGCGGGCGGGGCGGGCGAACCCGCCGGAGTCTGGGGGGGCGCCACGGAGCGGCGGGCGACCCTTCTGGGCGAGGGGCGCGCCGAGCACGGCGAGGACTGAGGAAGCACGGCGGTGCTCAGATGGCTGGACCTCCGGACTGACCACAAGACACAAAAAAAAACACCTTTAACTTACAGTCCAGCGGCTCAGACGGCCAGAGAAGCACTCCTGTGGGCGGTCAGTCTCACCCGATGGCTTGGCTGGGCTCTCCACCTGGAAGAAACCTCCGTTGAAGACCAACGTCTCCAGGGCGGGGGCTCCCGCTTGAGGGGGGGGGGGCTCCTGAGAACCGGCAGCGTCCTGGGCCTCTCCCTCTGTGCCGGCCGCCTGCTGCCTGGCTTTCAGGGCGGCTTTTAGGGCGGCCAGGCGAGACTTGGCGGCCGCTTTGGTTCCTGTTGGCTTGGCAGGTGCGGCTGACGGCTTCTGTCAAAGATAAAAGAAACATGATGTGCCTATTATGCTCTGGAGAAACTTTCAGAGAGCCACTTCTTCGTTTAAACCAGTGTCCAGGATGCGGATTTTTGAAAACCGTCACCTTAACTGCTTTCCTTTGACGTGGGGGGGGCTTGTGTTCCTCCACCCGGCCCCGCCCTTCTGCGTTTTTGAGGGCTTCAAACTTCTTCTGGACATCTTCCACCTGAAAACCCGCGTGAGCAAATCAAATCCCGTCAGTTTGAATCTAATTGGAGTTTTTACTTTGTCCTGCTCCGGCGGGGCGCTTGCCTGGTAGTAGACCATGTCCCAGAATCCCTGCAGGTCGGTGCAGGTGGTGATCTTCTCCCCTCGGCCCAGCTCGCAGTCGTCCACCAGCCCGCCGAACTGGCCGAAGCGCTCCTTCATCAGCAGCCGCGCCTGACCGATGGCTGTCCGCATACGGTCTCTCACTACGACAGAATACCACACGAATGAGAGACGGCGTCTTTTTCCGGTGGTTAGTCCAAATGTTCTAAGGAAAACCACGTCAAATGAGATAGAAATGTCTCTTTTGGTGGAGTGGATGCCCTTACTTTCCTCGGGGATGGATTCGTCCTCCACTCTAGGTTCCCAGAGGACACACAGACTCGTTAGCCTCGCCGTCTCAGCGGCCATTTCCGATCTGAATT